AGACGATCGAGATAATTATTATTTGATAGCAGGTGATCTCAACGCCAGACATCAATCATGGCAAAATAAAAAAAACAACCCTCGCGGATCTTCCTTAAAAAAATGGGTTGATAATAACTCAGTAAAATATAAACTAAATCTAATGAACTCCGATGAACCCTCCTACCCCGCAGGAGAATCTTACCTAGACCTCTGCTTAGCAGATTGCCGAATATGTAAAATTTAAAAATTTAACAAACAATATTATTCGATACCGATCACAATGCTCTAAAATTTAATATATCAATTTCAGATTGCACACAATTCGAATTTAACACACCAAAAGTAAATTACAATTTCGATAAAATAAATTGGCAAACATTTAACAAAGCAATCCTAAATGAAACAATAGAAATACCTAAAGATCGTAACCTCTCCATTGACTAAATAGATGAAGGCTTAACATTATTAAATACAGCAATATCAAAGGCAATAACTACAGCAGTACCAAACATAAAAAAAATCAACCAAACATCAAACCATATAAACAATAAAACTAAAAAACTACAGAAACTAACACAAATTAACGCACTCAGAAAAGCAGGTTATAAAAAAATTAACCTCTTCTATATGATTACCAAAAAAACTCTCTCAGCAATTAAAATTAAAAGTAAAGAAGAAAGTAGTAAAGTTATATCACAAAACTGAGAAAAAAACTTAAAAGTATACCACCAAATGACCCGACCAAATCACTTCCACAAATAAACAGATTATTTAGATCAAAAAAAACAATTACCAATTGATACACTAAAAATTCACAATTCAAAACAACACTTAATACATAAAGCTGACATACAGGCCTCAACACTTCACACAGACAATAACAATTTTTTCACAATATCAGACCCGATTGACAAGTTTAATTTATTAGGATCACATTTCGAAAACACACATACTCAAAACGATGATTTAGGTAAAAAGGGACACAAAACAATAATTAGCAAACATGTTGCTGTAATAAAAAACAAAATTCTATTTGAAAAAATAAACAACAACACAATAGTAACTTTTTCCAAAACTTTAACATCTGACAATCCCCAACAAAATGAAATTAATAACTTCTTCACCTCATATCTAGATCTGGCAAAAATATTCAGAAAACTAAACAACAAAAAATCAACAGACTTAGACAGGGTCCCAAACATAATATTGAAAAATTTACCACCAAGAATAATACTACAATATACAATTTTATTCAATAACGCACTTAACCATGGCTATTTTCCCAAAAGATGGAAAATTGCTAAAGTAATCGCTTTAAAAAAAGGTAAAGATTCTAGCGACCCTTCGAGTTACCGCCCTACAAACCTTCTTCCTAATATAGGGAAAGTTTTCGAAATAGTAATAAACAACTCAATATCTTCTTTTTGTGAAGAAAACAGTATAATCCCAAACGAACAATTCGGATTCAGATTTAAACACTCAACCATTCACGCCATCAATAAATTCACCTCGGACATATGCTGGGAAGTAAACTCAAACAATTGTGTAGGAGTGTGTTTTATAGACATAGAAAAGGCATTTGACACAGTATGGTTAGAAGGTCTTTTCTTCAAATTATCGAAAAAAAATTTTCCCTTTTACCTCATAAAAACCATATGGAACATGGTTTATGACAGAAAATTCACAATTACGGACGGCTCAAATTCATCCTCAAAAATATTTATCGTAAAAAATGGCCTGCAACAAGGAACAGTAAATTCACCTTTACTATTTAATATTTACACAGTCGACTTCTTAAAAGCGTTTAATCTTAACAACACCCATCATAAAAAAGCAATCGCATTTGCCGACGACTTACTATTATATTCGACAGGATCTAAAGTAACAGAAGTAAACAAGAATATACAAACTTTATTCGAAAATATTAAAGACTATTACTACACTTGGAAATTAAAGATTCTAACACGGACACGAAAAAAAACTGGAAAGCATTCCAGCTAAAAGAAAGCACTCACTCTAATATATTGATTCAACATAAACAATTAGTCAAATATTTAGGCATACAACTAATACAGACTCAAATATGATGAACACATATTTATACAACTTGATACAAAAAACACATTTAATGAATTAGCACACATGTTTTATTCGAAACACATACATAGAAAAATCAAAATTCTATTTTACTTATTACTAATAAGGCCTATTATAACATATGGTTGCCTAATTTGGTATAATATCTCACCAGCATCAATGGAAAAAATAAGACTTTTCGAAAGATACTGCCTTAGAACATGTCTTAATATGTTTAGAACACCTTATTCAAACCATAGAAAATACTACAAAAACAAACAATTAGTCGACAACGCTAACATCAACAGAATAGATACTCACATTCTCAGCCTTTGTAGAAAACACTTCTCAAAAGCATCTACATTAAAAGTAAATGATCTTATATCACACCTCTTCTATCCCCAACAATTATATTTTGAAAAAGCAGCACAAAAAGGCTTCACACATTGACTATTACATCAAAGCTCTGTCGTCTGGCTACATTCCACACGAGGCATTCACCTATTTTGATTTTAAAGGATATATACAAGATACAAACAACGTTCCTTACATGTATCATATCAAACGACACGCCATAGTCAGAACAATTACATACATACCCAAAAACAATTGTAATCCCAACGACGCTGAAATTAAACACTCCATAAACCTACCAAATTGCGATAAAAAAGAAACTATACAAAAAAGAAAAGAAAAATTCGAATGGCTCAACGAACAATTTTGGACTGAATAATCTAAATTAATATAATTCATTATTTTCCATTTTACCATATAATATTTTTAACAAAAATTATGTGACAGTTTTTATCTTTTTTTTAGTTTTATGATAGTACAATGTACATCAAAGTTATTTTTTCTGTCCATTAATCTTTAATTATACCTACAGCCTATTCCATAATAAAGTTGTTGTTTACAAAAAAAAGTGGCTAGGATACCGTGTTCGAAATGATAGTTAATAAATCCATAACCAAATTCACTTTCGATAACAAAATTATTCGAGATTCACAGTTCGGTTTTAGGTTCGGTCATTCTACAGTCTAGTGGCTAGGATACCTGGCTTGGTATCAGGCACAAGCACTCAACAGTTCACGCAATTTCAGAACTATTATCAGACGTATGTTAAGCTTTAAATGAAAAAAAATTTGTGGGGGCATGCCTAATTGATTTGGAGAAGGCATTCGACACGGTTTGGTTGGATGGCTTTTTTTCAAATTATTAAAGAAAAAATTTCCAAAACATTTAATAAAAATATTGTGGTCCACACTACGTGGAAGGATGATTTTTTTAGAAAATAAAGGCATAAAATCAAATCTAACGTTTTCTTTGGAGCAAGGACTTCAAAAAGGAGCAGTCAATTCTCCCATACTATTCAGCATATATATTTGCGACCCGCTAAAGTCCTTTGGTCTATTGGACTCAGCGAATAAAAAAGCTATGGCCTTCGCCGATGATATTATAGCAAACGTAACAGGTAAATCTCCGCAAGAAGTACAAAAAGTATTACAGAATTTGTTCGACGACTTGCTGTTCTGTTTCGATACGTGGATATTAAAATGCAATATTAAAAAAACGAGAACAATAATTTTAAGGGTAGGTCCTAGTAAGGCAGCACCATCTATATCGAAACTAAAATTTTGGATAATTATTTACAATATTTACTTGAAAGCAGGATAATAAAATACTTTTTCCTTTAGGATAATTGATTATTGTCAAGAAATAGATCAAGAAATATACCAGCTAAAACTTTTTTTGAGTTAAAATAATGAAAAAAAATTAATGACGATAAATTAAATATAAGCATATTTTTTTACGAAAACTTTTAAGATATTTTCTCGGAAATAACAAAAAAGAATGCAATTTTCATTTGGAGAATTAATAAACACTAAAAAATATACCAGCGAAGATTCACCAATTACGAAAATAATAAAAAAAACTTTTTTTTAACATAACGTTCTGCGTTCAGAGTGCCCCATCATCGTACAAACATTGGTGGAAATTCACCTCTAACGCGCGTATTTAGGGAAGCGAATAAAGCGAGCGAGATTGACTTTTTTGATGGAGCAAGTAACAAATTTCTAAAAACACTAGCGGATTACGTAAAAACCACATCTTAAAACTGTTCTTTAGATTGGATTACATCCATGACCTCTTTTTTTATTATGTAATACTTTTATTATTATTAAAGGGCATGTTATTTTTGTAAGCCTGTTTACATGTATAAATAAATAAATAACATATCGACACTATTTTTACTGTTTTTGACAGCCATTTGGTAGATAATAAATGTCACAAGTTATTTCGTTATTCTGCCAACAGGAGGAGATTGGCGCTGTTGCTAACAAATACAAATATATTATTTGCCAAATGGCTGTTAAAATCAGTAAAAATAGTGTCGATATGTTATATTAAAAAAAGGTTTTTTTGTTATTTTCGTGATTGGTGAATCTTAGCTGGTATATTTTTTAGTGTTTATTAATTCTCCAAATGAAAATTGCATTCTTTTTTGTTATTTTCGAGAAAATATCTTAATAGTTTTCGTAAAAAAATATGCTCATATTTAATTTATCGTCATTAATTTTTTATCATTATTTTAACTCAAAAAAAAGTTTTAGCTGGTATATTTCTTGACAATAATCAATTTTCCTAAAGGAAAAAGTTTTTTATTGTCTTGCTTTCAAGTAAATACTGTAAATAATTTTCCAAAATTTTAGTTTCGATATAGGTGGTGCTGCCTTACTAGGACCAGGCCTTAAATACTAGAATTACCAATTCGCCGAATTTTTATTTGCAAAAAATTTTTATAAAAATTGACCGCAACGACTTTATGTAAAATATACTGTTTTTTTTTATAAAATATAGAAATTTTATAATTTTTTTGGTTCTGTTTTTTTTAATCCAACTTTTACGGCTTGCTTTTTAATAAAACAAAAAATTGTAATTACCTTCTTTACGTTGTATTCAACGGGAGGTTCTTTCCTTAATAATTTAATTGTAAATTTGCCTTCGCCTTTATAAACAAGACGTCCAGATGGTCCTCGAAAATCAACAGTGTCCGAAACGGATAAATTTTCCAAATATTGAGACATTTTTCCCCCCTCAGGGAATTTTGGATGTACATTTTTGAAATATACCTGTGAAAAAAATAATTATTGAAAATAATTTTTTAAAAAAAGTTTGTATTCAGCAAATTTTGTAATAAAATAAGAATTTTTGTATAACGATAATTCAAATTTGATTTGTCGTTACACAGGCCTCGGATCGATTTTAAGGCACAAAAAAAGTTGTTTTAGTCGATTTATATTAAAAAAAAGTAGAAAAAGTCGATATTTTTTATTTTAACAAAATTTAATTGGTTAATGAATATTTTACTCTAAATAACTAATGTTTTATTTAAATAGGACAAATTTCTAAAAAAAATTCTTAAAGTTCCATTTTTATAATTTTTTTAAGCCTGATTTAAGCAATTTATTTGAATTAAAAATTTTATCATAGTTTTTAGTTTTGATGACCAAAAAAAATTTCAGGCAATACTTAATCAAGTTTTACAGATTTTTAAATGAAATTTTTTTTTTAAATAACAATTTTGGAAGAGTTAAAGTCGAAATTTTTGGAAATAATTGAATTTCCAGTGATTTTTAATTTAAAATTTTTGATGATTTCACTAAAAAACTTATTAAAAAATTGCAAACAATCATACAATAATTTGAAAACTTTTTAAGTGAAAAATGGTTTCAGATAGTTGAATTTTCGAAGAATATTATAAAAATCATTCAAAATAATTGCAAATAATTAAATTTCAAGTGATTTTAAATTAAAAATTTTTGGTAATTTTATTTGCTAATTTTTTTTAAAAATTATAAACAATTATTAAATTTCATAAAAATTTTAAATGAAAAATAGTTTAAAACAAGTCATATTTTTGAAAAAAGTCGTATAATCCGAGGCCTGAAAGGTGAATAAATTGAAATGAATTTTTTTTTTTTACTTTAACGACTAGATCAACGTATCCTTTATCGTCATCACTCGATACAGGCGTATAGGAACGAATAACAACTTCGTCGTTAATTTTTGCTGTTAAATGCACATGTTGACCAATTGGAAGTCCCAAAACATGTTCTTCGGATGGAAGGCCAAAACGAAATTTCCTCGTGTCATGACTAATAATTTCTTTTTTAATCAATGGAAGACTGTATTTAACTACAGGATCCTCTAAAAGTATTTTTTGTTTCTTATTTTTACCAGGTACATATAAGAGGTAAAGCTTTACTCCTATTCCTATAATAACAACTGCTCCAACTGCCGCCAAAACTGGTAAAACCTGTGAATTTGCAAAATTTGACATTAACTTCATAGTAAATTTTTTTTTTTTTTTAAATAAATGTCCGAACTTGTATATATCAAAATTTCTACTCTCGAAATCTGAATTAGTAAAAATATTTAACTAATTCCAATTAAATTTTTTTTTTAAATTAGTAAAAACAAAAATTTTTTTTTACTAATCTGCAAAAAAAAATATTGTTAAGAATAAATTCTTAATATTTATATTAAGAATTTTCCTTTTGAAATTAAGTAATATAAATTAAGTCATAAAAAAATTTCTGATAAGATAAAATGCCTTTTACGATATAGACAAACAACAGAATATTATAAAGTTCATCAGGTTAGATATATAATGAATATTATAAACAGATAAAAAAAAAATAAATGAAAAAAGTATAACTAGAATTTTCTCCAATATGAAAACTAGTTTCAAGGATTTTTATAGATTTTATTTATAAAATACTAAATAAATTCGAATTTATTGAATAATTTATAAAAATTTAGAACAAACAATTTTTATTACTTTTTGTATCAAAGAATTTAACTAATAAAAATTGTAAGTTTAATTTAAATCACTTAAATAGAAATAAAATTTTAATACCATTTATGATTTTTTTTTTTACTAAAATTGTACGTTTTATTAATTTTTAATTTTTCTTTAACTGAATTTTAATTCACAAAATATTTAATATCTCAAAAAATAATAATTTTATAATTATATATTTAATTTTTACATTAATAAATAATAAAATTATAATTGTATTATTTTTATTTTTATCAATAAAATAAAATTAATTTCTATTATTTTATTTTATAAAATATTTGAAAAATATAAAATTATAATTTATTAATCTAATAATAATTTTTATATATATTCTTTATTGTATTATAAAATCTTTAAATTTAATTAATATTTCTTTTTAATATTAATAATAATTTTTCGAGAACTTTCGCAGTTATGATGTTTGTTTATTGATACAGTTTATAATTTACTAAAAAATATTTCTTTTTATTTAAATTTAATATCTTTCTTCTTTTTCTATTATTTTTCACATTGAGTTACTTATGAATATCTTCTCTCTCTCTCTCTTTCTATTATTCTCGAAATTATATTTCTCGTAATACAAACCCATTTCTTCATTATGTATTAATATTTATTAATTAATAATTTTTCAAAATAATTTATTATAATTTTATATGTAAACTTTTGACTATTGAAATACCATTTCAAGCAGGAAAAAATATTTCGATAATATAAAGTGGACATTTTTTTTTAATCTTATTTTTAATAGTTGCGACATTTAAAAAAATTAATTTTTTTTTGTTGGATCACTTGATAAATTTTTTCCATAATTAAATAAAAATAAAAATATCTAAACTAATACCCATTTGAAATAATAAAAATTTAATTTAAAATTTACTAACTTAATTTTACTTTAAAAAAATATTAAAATGCGCAAATATAAAATATTTTAGCATTAAACATTATTACGTAAAATAGCAGAATGCAAAACGGTTTGAATTTATATAGATTTATTTTGAGGTTAGAATTCCAACAATGAGAATAGAATTTTTCTCATAAAAAAGCAAAATAATTGTCAATAATATTAATATATTTAAGAGAGGTAATTTAAATAAAATCAATGTTAAATCGAAAATAATTATGTAAATTGTAATTTATTATACATTACCAAAGATCTTGAACTTGTCATCGAAAAAACTAAGTTGCGCCCAAACCCAATTTTATACACACGTGGTCACGGTCACACTTTCTGTTTCTCTCTCTGTCTCTCTTTCTAGAGAAATTATTTCCGCGTGTGTATATATGTTGACGAAGGTCAAGATCGATAGAAATATACGAGATTCTAAATTTCTGAATAAAAATTATTTTTTAATTTTTCTAAAATAATGACAAAATTTATTCAAAAGGTGCGAAACTCGCACGATCAATGATGAAAATATACGTGAAAATTTCACCGCAAGGCATAATAATACTCATCATATATATAAAAGAGACTATAGAAAGCAGCAGAAGACGCCGGCAGCCAGGAACGGCTAGAAAATTTATTATTAGAACCATTTTCTAGGTGCACGTTTGTTATTTTAAAATAAAACAAAGTTAAATCCGGTGTATTATTAACGTTCGAACAAATTTAAACCGTTTAACATTTAAAATATTGCATTCATTAAAATAGCGACAAAAAAATTTAATTTTTTCAATAAACATTAATATTATAATTTTTATTTATAAATTCTTAATTATAATTAAATAAAATGCCTTTTATTATTTTAAATTCAGTAAATAAAAATTACAACAAAAAAAAAAATTGGAAAAAATGATCCAAATAGGTTATATAAATTTTTTTTCAAAATCAAGTAAATAATTGACTAATTATAATTATATATTATTCTAATTTACATAAATTATTTTTAGTAAAAAAAATATATTCCATTTCTAGGAAATGAATTTTCTTCGAATTTAGCGGGGAAAAAAATTCTCCCTCCTCTAGCGGGAAAAAGAAGAACTGTAATATCAGTGTAATTGTTTATCGTTTATAATTTTACGACCTTCGAACACAATTAAATTCAATGAGATATATATTATTCATGTTAAGAAAAATTAAATTTCAAAAGATTCTTAATAATTTAAAAAATTTAATACAGTTTCCCTACATTAATTAATGGGAAAAATATATAAGAGAAAAACAATTTATAACCTAAAAAAATTTATAACGAATATAGAATCTAAAATTAATATTTCGGGATTATATATTAATTATTTAATTTAAAATTGTTTCCACTTTGAGAAAAAAACTAGAATTTTTTTTTGAAGGAACAATTTTTTTTTAAATTTTTTTTAGAAATTTAATTTACATACCTCTGTATTCATCTTTCAAAATTAATCCTTATTCCTTGGATTTACAATATATTTTTTTTACAGTTTTTCTTATTATCTTTTCGTACAAATTCACTTTAAAAAAAAACAATAAAAATCGCAATACACTACAGCAATTGTTGTAAATAATAAATAAATAATGACATTTAATTGATTGTAAATTGAATAAAAAAAAATTAACGACTAAAATGGACGGCTGCGTTGACTGTACAACTAATATACGTGTGGGATAACTTAAGTTGATACTAAACGATGTAGGCTCATCTTTATCTCGCTTTTACATCGTTAAAAGTATTCGAGCGAGCAAAAGTTGAATTGAAAAACAATTCCCCACCATGTATACGTATGTCAGATGATATAAATGTAAATATTAAATTTTTTTTAAAACTCTGGTAACGTGATTATTCATATCTATATTTAAAATTCAAAATTATAATTACTACAAATGTAGAAAATACAGATTATTATTAACGTTATTATTCAAGAGTATATTAAATTTAATACTCTTTTCAAAAGAGAAAATTTTCAATTTTTCTTCGATTTTTAAAATTATTTTAACTGAGATATCGATTTAAAGTGGTGTAAATTTTTAAGGGACAATTTTTATTTAGAAAAATAATTTTTATAAAATAAATAATTAAAAAAACAATTTTTCAAACTAACAAATTTTTTTTAAATAATATAAAAAAAATTTGAAATGATAAATTTAAAAAGAAACAATAAAAAAAAAATTTTTTTTCTAATGATAAATGTAAAAAGAAGAGTGTGTATTGTAAAGAGTGGGGACTATTGCACATGTCCTTTAAAACTAATACATAAGCAGGTGTGGTCAGATTAATTAGTCGCTACTCAAAGTGATAGCACGATTAGTATATTGTCTTCCAATAAGACTCAGTGAAGCTTTGGAAGGATTGATTATCTCCAAGTTTTTGTACTTTGCTTGTTAAATAAATAAAGTAGGAGAGACCGTGGTTACTTGGCGCACTTTTTACTCTTTGTTGTGTAACTCACTCATTTTTGCTTTTTTTAAAAAGTTAACATATAGAAAACTTGTTGTAACATATCAGCTTTAATTAAAAAAAAAAGAAAGTTGAAATATATTTAATACTTATATTTTTATACCACTTTATTTGAAGCTGTGTAAAGCGCGCTTGCAAGACTTAACAAAGTAAGTCTTGTACTGTAATTTTACAATAAAATTATTTTAAATTTAAAAATTAGAAAATTTCATTTAAATTAAATGAAATCGTAAAATTACCAAAAAATATATATTTTTTTTATAATAACGCTGTGAATATTTAAAAACCATTATTCGGTTAAATTTTTTGAATAGGATTGTTATTGGTGCTTATTAATGTGTAAATTTCATATAATCAACTTCATTTTATTAATATTTAACGAAATTCTCAAATAATCGCGCCACCAAATCCCGAATGTACTTTTGAAATATTTATTAATTTTTTATAAAAACTGTTAATATAAATCAAAAAATTTTTTTTGTTTCTTAATAACAAATGTATAGAGCTCAAAACTTAATACTTGCGCTCTTCTAAAATTAATTTTTTAAAGAGATATCACAAAAAAATGAAGAGTTTAAAAAATTACTTTGGAGTGCCAAAATCAGTTATTTTAATCTATACTCCACAATAATGAATGAACCAACTCACAAAAATAATATTATTAGTTGTTTCTTACGGCGACAACACAATTACTAATAAAGATGCACATTTAAATAATTATTAATTTAATTATTTGAGATCAATTTTTTTCCCCCGCCGTAATTGAAGATTTTTAAGATTTCCATTGGCTCCAATTACGGTGTGCAAAGTATCTACAAAATACACGTAATTTTGGTCACCGTAATTGATACACTGAAACTGATATACAAACGCGCTGTAATAGAAAATTACGATATTAGTTTTAAATTCTTATATTTGTTTAAACAAACGAGTATTATAAAGTTAAATTTTTTTTAATATCTGAATAACATAAGCTTTTAGTTTAATAAGTCTTAAACTGACTTTATACACTGAAAAAAAAATTTATTTGATTCAAATACTCGCTTGACTATTATCAAATAAGTATTTACATCAACCAAATAATTTTTATTTGAATTAAATAAATTGTATTAATACCAGTTAATATTAAGTTAAAATAATAGAAAAAATCTAGTTTCAATAATTCTTGATCGCTTTTGCGAATTTTTAAATTTGCAAAATTATTTGCTATCAAATTTGGAACAACAAAAATATTAATGTTATAATTAAATAATTATGCAACAAACGCCTAATTGAGTTTCTATTGGTATTTTTTCAAAACAAAAATAAGTTCCACAAATTAATTAATTGTTTTTTTCAAATATAATAAAAATAAAAAATGTTTTTAAAGAATAAAAATTCTAAAATGGTCAAAAACAATTTTTTGAAACATTTTAATAAATATAAGTTAACTTTAGATTCTAAAAAATTTAAAAATACAATGTATTTTAGTAATACTTCTTTTTGCATTGTAACTATAATTAATTACGTAATCTAACGACTGCGGTAAACCAATTTGAATTTTGACTGATGAATAAAATATAAAATTTCGGTATGATTATTTGTAGCTTTAATCCAAAAAACACCAAAAAATAGAATGTTGAATTATTTTTTAATTATGTAGTATACATAAATTACTTTTGAGTTTGACGCAAATTTAAAGATTTTTTCTCATTGAAATATTTATTTAAAAAAAATATATAATAATGAGATAGACGAGTTATAGAAATAGAAATTGTATTTCTAATTCTGATTATAGGCGGATTTAGTAAAAATCTTATTTCAATAAAAAATACTTGTAAAATTTTCATATCACTCATCTGTATATATATGACTTTTTAAGTCATCAGAGTATACAGAATTATATTTTCATGACTTAGCATATTTTGTATATAATAATATTTTTTAGTTATAATCATGACGACTATTGTAGCTAATGTTTCATTGTTACTCAATCAATATTGCAGACAAATATGACAGTTATTGTTTTTGATGATTCATAACAAAATTTTAATGACTTTATTCTTTCGTCAAATCTTTATTAAAAAATGTAAAAGAAATAAGTACATAATCAATATCAGATCTTCAATATTTTTAATACATGTGACGCGATCTGAAGAAAGGGACCTTAGAAGCAAATGAATTATTATAGAAGTATCTAAAAGAATATGTTTTTGTTAAAACAGTTTTTAATACCTAATTCTGTTAAGTTCAATTTTCTAATTAGAAATCAAGTATTTAATTTTAAAATTGTAATAAAATTGCAATATTACTTTTTATGTGTATTTTTATAATGGCATTATTTAAAATATATGTTTACTAATAATTTTACTATATACTTATTTAATTTCTTTGACTTTTTATAATATGAAAGCAAAAAATTCTTACTAACTTTGTTGATTCTTGTGCAGTTTCTTCGAGTATGATCATCTTAATTCTGCACACTTATTTATATACGATGGGAAATGAAAAAGACATCTGTATAACTTGTTCGCGGGGAATCACTTGCTTTCCTTTATTGAGGGATTTACTTTTTTGGAAGCATAAGAGTGAATTCTTAATAACAGCTAAGAACGCATATAACGACATTAGTATATATGCGATTGTAAAATACATGTTTGTGTATCGCAAAGTATTTATCATATTGCCACGCTTATTTGTGAGATTGTGCAAATAAGAAAATTTAGTTTTTATTTAATCGATGAAGCATATAATTCTATCTCTGAAATTATGAATGTACTTTGGTTTTTCAATTATAAATTGAATATTCAATTTAATTATTTTATTTAATTACATAATACTAAGTAATATATATAAAATAAAATTATAAAAGAATTATTATATAAGATAATAATTATATCAGAATTATAAATATTTACTAACGATATATTTGTATCGTTTATATATATTTTTATATAATACACTAAAAGAAGAATATTTTTATTGAATTATTTATTATAAAAATATATTTTGGAGTTTATTAATTTTTTATATATTTATTTATTTAAAACGAAAAATGTTTATATATCGTGTTGCGGTTTGCACAATTATGAATGAGAATTAAAAATTAAATAAATAAGGAAAAATGTTATACTTGTAGTAAAGCATAAAAATATCCGAAACAAACGTAATTTATGATAATATTTTTGTATGTATTTTCAGCTGCTGCTTTGGTATTAATTCTTCCTATTTGTATTATTAAAAAATTGCATTAATTTCCGAAAAAAGGAAAGTCGCAGTGATTCCTATTAGACAAGTCAAAGACCTGTTTTTGTTAGCGTATATATAAATTCTCGCACGAAATAAAAATGATCGAACATTAACTCACTGCACAAGAAGCAATATACAGTTGGTGAGAAAATTAAGAGTAGTCAAAAAACTAATATTAAAAATAGAAGAAAATATTATTTAAATATTCGATATCTATATTAATATTATATTAGCATTGCTTTTTATTAAATTTCAGTCTAAAATGAGAAATTAATTTACTGTTTCATAATTATTACAAAATTGAATTTAAATAGAATTTAGTATTTAATACTTCCTTTTAGAAAAAATTAATTATTTTACATTTTGTACTCATTTATATACTGAAAAATGTTGAAATACATTTTTGTACTGGCTCTTATAGCCACGAGTCTTTCTGTATCCCTTGCTGGTTTACCAAAAAGAGAGAGACCACCAACCATGATTGTGAGTACATAAAAACATTTTATTTAAAAAATTAAATTTGAAAGTTTGTTTCTTTATCAATCAATACTTTATAATCCTGCCGAATTCAAAAATTATAAAAAAAATTGTATCGTCCTAACTAAATTTTTAAAGGTTTTTAATTGACAACCCTACTTTCCACTTATTTTGATCTAAAGAATGTTTTACTCAAAATTCTTTCTAAAAAATTATCTAGAATTTTTCTGGTATATATTTTCCCTGGTCAAAATGTTAAATAAAATACTAAATCTTAGAATAAAATTGTATATTGACAGAATCGTCCACGCCCACCAAAACCACATCGTTATGCAAGAGAAGCAAATCCCTAGGGATCCGTCAGTATTGGAGTACAGAAACCATTGAGTGGTCCAGAGCGTCGACCAACCTACAATGTTGACTATCAACACAAAGTATTCGAAAACAAACACGGATCGTTCAGTGCAACCGGTGGTGGAGTTAGATATCCAGGACAGAGATGGGAACCTACCGTTGGAGTTCAAGGGACATGGGGGTTTTAATATATAATCAGATGAATGAATTAATTTTCAAGACTGAAATGTAAATTTTATCATAAATACATAATTATATAAAAAAAAATAACTAGTTATTGCTTCCCTATATTTTAGGCCCAAAACTCCTTTCATGATTAATACTTTAAGGATCAAGGATCGCTAAATAATTAGTATTCGACCAAGGATTAAGACTCGCGCAGAAAGCTCTTTTTCGGATTAAAACTCGTTTAAGGATTAATACTTTGCATAAAAGGCTCACTTAAGGATCTGGATTCGACTAAGGATTAATACTCACTAAAGGATCAGAATTCGACTAAAGATTAAGACTCGCTGAACGATTAGTATGCTAGTCTTAATCCTTGGTCGAATCCTGACTCTGCAGCGAGCCCTTGATCCTTATGCAAATATTAATCCTGGAATTAATTTTGACCCTAAAACGAGCCTTGAACCTTCTGCGAGTTTTAATCCTTTGGTTGAATTTCGAGTTTTAACCGAGCTTAGACTCAGAGTCAAATGCGAGTTTTAAGTCTTTAGCAAACCATGAGCTTTGTGTTAGCTTTGATAACATTTTATATTTTGTTTTTATATAAATATTTTATATTTATATAAATATATATTTATATATTTATATTATGTTATATTTTTTATATTTTGTTAGAAGAAGTTAGTTAAAGGGAAATTTAGCAGAAAAAACACAAGTTCCTAAATCTTTATTGTTGTCCAGACCATAAAATTTAATATTTATACAGAATTTAACAATGTGACTTTCGCAATATCTTTTAATTCCTAAAATACCAGTCCTCTTTTATCATATCACTAGCTTTTTCAGCTATCATAACAGTGGGAGCATGTGTATTTCCCCGAGGAACAATCGGCATAATAGATGCATCGACGACTCTCAATCGTTTTACCCCATACACTCGTAGTCTTGAATCAACAACAGCTTCAGGATCATTTTTTGGCCCCATTTTACAAGTACCAGCAGCATGTGAACCAGGTACTGTTTTTGCTCTCAACAAACAAATCCAGTATTCATCACTATTCCATTTAAGTTTATCACAAGGTGATTCAGGAGTGTCGTACAAACGATAGTTATTATTCCTAAAGGTTGTAGTTTCAAAGAATTGTAGACACATTCTTATACCTTCAAGCATTCGATCAATATCTTCTTTATTTGTAAGAAATCCCGGATAAATTATAGGTGAACCCCATATAGGATCTGTTTTATTAAGTTTAATAACTCCTCTACTTTTAGGTGTCAGTAGAGTCGGATAAAATAAAATAGAATCATAGTAAGTCATTATTGGACTTAAATCCAATTCAGCAATATTTGTTCCTATGAAAAGTAATTGAAGATCTGGTGCATTTTGTATTTCATACTTTGTTTGACCAAAAATTGATATTATTTGAGGACCTATTGACGATAATGGACCCTTTTGAGTCCTTAAATATTTGCGCAAATCTTCTTTCTTTTGATCCAATGTTATATTTGTCCAAGTTTGATTGTCTAAAAGAATATATATACCAGTAAATGTCACGTGATCTTGAAGATTCATTCCTACTGATGAATTATAAATTACGTGAATATTATGTTTTTTAAGTTCTTCCATTGGGCCTATACCAGAAACCATTAATAATTGTGGTGACTTAGTGGCTCCTGCTGATACAATAACTTCCTTTCGTACTTTTACCACTTTCGTTATATTGTTTTCAGTTGATGTGAATTTTACACCATAAGCTTTTTTCGTCTTTGGATCAATTAGTATTTTTGTAACATAAGCTTCGGTTTCGATATCTAAATTCCTTCGTTTTGTTCTAACCGGTCGAATGAAAGCATTGTTTGAACTTTGACGTTTTCCTTCATCTGATGTTGTTTGTAGAACCATTGCACCTATTTGTTGTTTTCCATTCACATCTACAGATTTATAGCCCATTTCTTTGCTAGCTTTCAGGAGATTTTTTGTATGTATATCTTGATACGACATCGTTTCAACTGAATGATATCCTCCTACACTATGATAGTAGGGATTGTTTCGTACAATCTGTAACAATACAAATTTTAAAATTTGTCCGGTAATGAAATTTAAAAATTTACCGTTTCATCTCTGTTGTCTTCTGATTTTTTGAAATAAGGCAGTACATCATTGTAGCTCCATCCATAGTTTCCTAAATCAGCCCATGTGTCATAATCCATTGCGTTGCCTCTTACATATAACATTCCACTGATTGCACTTGATCCTCCCAACACCTACTTGAAAATCAAATTAAAAACGAAATAAATTAACGAAACAGAAAATTAAAAAACTAACGGAAATGAAATATTTGACCTTGCCATATGCCCACGGACAACCTTTGCTTAACAAACATGATGAATTTTCTTGTTGAGCTTTAAAGTCCCAATCAATGTTTGTACGTTGAAGTATATTTGCCAAAGCTGGTATTTCAGTTACTATTGGTTCTTCCACGCCTGCTTCTAGTAATAAAATATTCCATGCTTTTATTTCACTTAGACGATTTGCGAGAACACATCCTGCAGAACCTCCTCCAACTATGATGAAATCATATTCTTTATTAACAGGCTTTTTTGGTGTTGTCTTACATTTTGATGAGCCAAACAAATCGTAAATAAGTTTCAAAAACAAAAAAGTAGATGGCTGACAAACGGAACTAATAGTATTATTTTGACACAGTTCTGGTAATTTTTCAGGAATCCAACACATTTTTTTTAATAATAAATTAACACTAATTTCTCGTAGAGCTAAAAAGAAAATATATAGATTCTTAGTGGGGAAAACATTAAAGATGCGCTAAGTAAATTAAAAACTTATTTTTCCTGTAACGAGAATGTAAATAGAAGATGAATTATTTGTATGCGGGAAAATTTTCCTTGTTTTATCATCGTTTTGCCGTCACAATATTTTGACCTAAATTACTCGTAATTTACAGATTTCTGTTTACTAACAATAAGAAAAATTATTTTTTATAAATCATTCTTTTCTACTTTATTGTATAACATTTATTTTTTTACATTCATATAACAAATTGCTAAAAAAATGATTCTCCATTTATACATTTACATCTGCTTGTACATAAAATACTAAAATAGTCAGATAAGGAGTTCAACCAATTTGTCCTACAAACGAAAAGTCATGGATTAAAAATTTGTTAAATTAAACCTAATGATTTAACCAATCTTCTTTAATTAAATCAGAAGCTTTTTCGGCTATCATAATTGTAGGAGCATTAGTATTTCCTCGAGGTATAATTGGCATTATAGATGCATCAACTACCCTTAATCTTTTAACACCATATACTCGTAATCTAGGATCAATAACAGCTTCCAAATCAATCTCTGGACCCATTTTACAAGTGCCTACAAAATGATACCCAGAATCAGAATATTTATTTATTATACATGACCAATAAGATTCTGTATTAAATTCCCATTTTTCGCAACCGGATCGTTCAATTAATTTAAATTTATTTTCCCTAAATGACTTTGTACTATTTATTTGTGTAGCTATTCTAATAGCATCCATTAAAATTTCTTTATCTTTTTTATTTTTAAAGTAATTTAAAGTAATTTCCGGATCACCCCACACGGGATTTGTAGTATTTAATTTTAAAAATCCTCTACTTTCTGGAGCTTGAAGTTCAATATTTAAACTAAACGAATTGTAATATGTTCCTGACAGTGGTGATTTACAATGTGAATCATTGAATAGTTCAATTAATGTTCCTGAAAAAACTAGTTTTACATCTGGTACTCCAGATCTATTTTCATAGTTCGTTTGAGCAAAAGCACACACTGAATTTAAACCAATAGACGTTAATGGTCCTTTCTGCTTATCAAAATAATCATCCAAGTCAATTTTCTTATATTCTAAATTATTTTCCGTTGTAAAATTTTCTGGCAATAAAAAATATAAAGCATTGAGTCTAACGTGATCGTGTAAATTTTTACCAACTGCTGGTAAATCGTTAATTACTTCAATATTATGTTTCTCTAAATTTTTTCTATCTCCAATACCCGAAAGCATTAGAATTTTTGGAGAATTAAATACACCCGCTGACAATATTATTTCTTTTTTTGCAAAAACTTTGTTAATTGTTCCATCTTTGTTTTTATACTCAACTCCAGTGACATTTTTAAATTTGTCTATTAAAACTTTTATAACATGTGCATTTGTTTCGATTTTTAAATTTTTTCTCATTAATCTAATTGGTTCTAAAAATGCCTTATTTGTGCTCTGACGAATTCCATTTTTGGTCGAAGTTTGCAATTTTGTTACTCCCAGTTGGTCTTCACCATTCACATCTACATTTTTAAAACCCATTTCTAATAGAGCTTCGAATACAGATGCAATGCTTGCATCCATATATTGGCTATTTTCAAGAGTTAAGTAACCTCCGCTATTGTGGTACTTGGAATTCGTTAGCTTTAAAAAAAATGTACAAAAAATTAATTTTCTCTTCGATATTTCCCAAATAGCACGATATATCAACCAGATGTCACGGTGATATCACCGGGGAATGTCACCGTGACATCAGGAAAATGTCAAAATGTCCGCCTTACGGTGATATCACACGGTGACATCGAGGTGATATCATGGTGACATCAAGGTGATATCACAGTCATATCACGGTGATATCATGGTGATATCACCGTGATATCATGTTGATATTTTCCAGGAACTTACAATTTTTAAAAAATTATTATTTTTCTTTTTTTTATTATTTTTTAAATTATTAAAAATTATAAGTTCCTGGAAAATATCAACATGATATCACGGTGATATCACCATGATATCACCGTGATATGACTGTGATATCACCGTAAGGCGGACATTTTGACATTTTCCTGATGTCACGGAGACATTCCCCGGTGATATCACCGTGACATCTAGTTGATATATCGTGCTACTTGGGTTTGCAATTAAAATTGAATTGAAAAAGTTACAGAGCTTCAATTATCAAAAAGCATCTAAAAATTCGAAATTTTTGTTAAAAACCAAAATATTTTTTTTTAATTTACCTTATGGTCAGTGTTGTTTTCTGACTTTTTAAAATAATCCAACACATTTTGATATTCCCAACCAACGTTTCCTAAATGTGCCCATGTATCATAGTCTAATTTATTTCCTCTGACGTACTTCATCATGTTAATGGCACTAGAGCCACCCAACACCTATTAAAATTTAAGCAAAATAAGTTTTTTATTCTACTCGCAATTTTATAAACATTTTAAAATAATGTAAAATTTATTCTTTATGAAAAAAATGTCATCACTGTAAGGTCATAAAATATCATTACGGATTTTTTTTGTCAAAAGAAATTTCAACAAAGAGAAGAAAACATAGTATGTCCGAGACTGGGACGAGTGAATCAGTCGGTGGTTGGCCGTGGATACGGAAGCATAATGAGATTGTAGTTTTTTTTAAAGAATATCTTGAAAAACTTACAGAGAGTGGCGAGTTTGTAAGTTGTGAAAAACTATTTTTAAAATTGTTTATTTAAAACTATCAATCAAATATAAAAAACTTCTCAAGAATTTGACTTATTTTCAATTCACCTGATGATATTATAAAAAATTATAGTTTACCTTGCCAAGAGATAAGTGACAACGTCCTCCTTTTGAACCACAAGCATTTTCTTCCGGTTGGGATAAAAAGTTCCAATCCAAATTACTAGCCCATAAAAAAGGTGCTAATGCGGGAATTTTAGTAATTTCTGGTTCTTCAGAACCCGCTTCTAATAACAATATCTGGGACATTTAAATAATTTCAATAATTAAATATTGTAAAATATAAATAAAATTAAAATTTTATAAAATTAATAAAAAATATAAATAATTATAATAATTTATATAATTTCCATAAAATGTTAAAAAAATACTGTTTTTTAAATTTGTAAAAATTATATTAAATTAATAGAATAAAAATAATTCCTTATTTATAAGGTGGGTAGTTTATTTTATTTATTAAATTAATGAATTAATTTATATAATTTTTTAAAATAAGAATTATATGAACTTTTGTCATTGAACATATTTAATATCATCATTTCTGTATCAAAAAGTTAGTTTTTTTGTTTTTAAGGAACCGCACATGACACTCCACCGTGTGAATGTGACCTTAGCAAATTTTAGGTTATGTTTAGTAAAAACGGCGAAAATATTGATGCATTATTTTTTGTATCAATATCACGAAGTAATATAAGGAGGCTCCACAAGCATAGAAAGGCGAGTCCAATTTTCCGGAAATTAATTGCTTCAACTAGGATTAACCTCACTAGCGGTTCCTAGCGGAAAACTCTTGTAAGCTCTAAATTTAAACAGTGGCGCGTGTCATATAACTGTCAAGTGTATGCATTAATGAATATATTCGTCATTGTTTGTTTTTATTTTTTTTTCATAGTGCTCTTTGATTTCTCGTGTTTGGGAGTTTTAGTTTTAGTTATCAAATTCAAAATTCGTGATATTGAAATGCCGACGTGCTTTGTACGCGGATGTAAGTCTTCGGACTATAAAAATCAAAAGGAAAACTCAGAGAGAAAAATTAGTTTATTTCGTCCAAACAGGGTGAGTATTAATTATTCTGTTTTCTTAGTAAATCTTGTAAATTGTATAAATTATTTTTGGATAATTAAAAAAGTAATTCTTTAAATAAAGTTCTTGTCTTGAAAACGTTTTGAAAACGTTACTGTATATATAGTTATTTTCAAAAATTAAAATGTCAAATTGAAAAATTTGTTTTATATTTAAAAATAAAAAACCTAAATCAATTGGTACTTTCGATAAAAAAATAAAATAAATAGAGAACGATGTATTAATTATAGTGAAAATTTTTAAGGAGTGTGCGAATGAAGATTAATATTTTAAAAAGTGTTTTTCGGATACTTTTTCAAGTCATTATTATTATTTGTTAAATGTTATATAGGAAGAGGTGTTAAGAAGGTGGCAGGAAATTGTACCAAATGGACAAAATTTGAAAAAACATCATGCCATTTGTGAGCTACATTTTGATAAAAATGATATTTTGAGACATGATGGAAATGAATTTACTTTACCGTCGGTACGTGCACGTTTAAAGGATGGTGCTACACCCAAAATTTTTGAAAAATTTGAAAAGAGTGAAACTACTCCACGTGTGATTGTAGTAACACATAATTTTCCTCATAATAACGATTTTGAAAAAGAAATTAATTTTGATGTAATTTATAAAAATGCTCATTGTATACCACTGCCTTCCTGTTACTGGTTCATGATGCGAGAAGAGGGCAAAATCATATGGAATTACTGGAAAGAAGATTGCTCTGAAGAAAGTGTGCAACTAGTTGTACTTTCTTCGAATATGATAGTGAAGGTAAGAAAATACTGTACGTACTCTATTAAGTGTGTAATAATTGCAATATATTTTTTTTTTTTGGTAGATTTTTTTGAAAGGAAAGGAGGTACATGTGGATAATATAAATTTTGCACAAAATGTGAAAGATATTGCAGATATACTGAAGAAGGTGGAAAATATTCTACCATGTGCTAGTGATGAATCGGAATACAGGTTTGCAGTATTTAGTTACATTTAACTTATATATATAGATTATTATTAAATTTATTTTTTATTTTAGGTCTTTAGATTGTAAAGGTTACGTAATGAAGACAGAATGTGGTAAAAGAGGTAAACGCGTAAAATTTTGTGATCCTTGTAAATTTCATCGATTACGATTACAAAAAAAAAAAAAAACGATTCCGGAAAACTAAACGCGAAAAACAAGGAATTGCGTGAAAAATTGAAAAGTGAAAACCGTCGAAAACAACGCACATCGTTCAAGGTAATGATAAGTGAAATTTGATTTTTAATGATAATTTAACAGAATTGCGACAATAGATTTTTTTTAAGGTAAAAATCAATTATTGTAAGAAGCGAAAAATTCTCTGAACTTTTTCACTACTTAAAACAATTTTTAAATTTGGATTTTCTGTAAAAATTTCACGTTGATCTCGAAAATACTTCCTTATTATATATAAGTATATGTATATCTAAAGGATTTTACAATTTTGTAAACTTGTAGCTGGTAGCTTACGCAAGTATGTAAATATTTAAATATTTTTATTATAAAAAATAGCTTTAAAAATGTGATATTTTTACAGGGAAAAAATTATAAAAATTTACTTAAGCAGTCTAATTTTTTTTAACACAAAGTACAAAATTTATAAGGTATAAGAAATTTAAAAAATATTTGTTAATAGATCAAGAAACTAGAAGAAAAGGTAGAAAATTTAAAATTAAAATGTTCAAAAATTGAAAATGAAGCCATTGTTAAGTGTTTAATTCAATTACCTGAAAATGAGCAAAATGCTGTGCGAACCATACTGGAAACTTCAAAAGTAAAGAGCAACAAAGGATTAAGATACCAATCGGATTGGGTTTATGAATGTATTCTTTTGAGGATCAAGAGTCCTAAAGGTTATGAACACATTCGAAGAAGACAACTTCTTCCATTACCAAGTGTAACAACTTTAAATAGGTACATGAAATTCATTAAAAGCCAGTATGGTTTTCAGGAAATCATTTTCGAAGGCATTAAATTAAAAACCAAATATATGTCGCCATTGGATGTTCACGGTGTGTACACTAAAATCAAATCTTTACTTATATTAAAGGGAAAAACTTTTTTGCATTATCGAGGATCTAAAATTATTAAATATTATTAAAATTTAAAAAAAAATGTTTTTGACCATTTGAGAATTCTTGTCTAAAAAAATAAAAATTGTTCAAAATTCATACGATCAATTTTTTTAAATCATGAAAAATGTATTTCATGTTGCTAAGGAGATATAATTTTTTTAAAACATTTTTTGGAAAATTAAATCGTACTTCTTTTTCAAAAATTAAAAAAACCCTGTGAATAATTTCTCACAACTCTTATTTTTTTATTTCTTAAATATTCTATTTTTTACGGTTGAAATTTAGTGGACTCTTCCATTGAATTGAATAAATATAGTTACAAATTTATATGCTTCTAAAATATGAGTAGAATTTTTTTTTTTTTGTAGGATGCCTGTTAATCGATGAGATGAAATTAACCAAATATATCCACTTTGATGAAATGAATCTTAAATTTGAAGGATTCACCTATCTCGGCAATTATACCCCAGAAAATCAAACAAATCAAGCCGGTGATCATGCACTCGTTATGCTATTTCAGCCATTTAAAGGAAAATGGGTGCAAAGTTTGGGGTGTTTTTTAAGTAAAGGTTGTGCACCTGGTAAAGTATTGCACAAGTTAATAACTGAGTGCATAATTCTTACAGAGAATGCAGGATTAAAAATTGACGCGATAGTATCTGATGGAGCGTCATGGAACCGATAAATGTGGACTCAATTTGGAGTCAATGAGGAAGAAGTCAGCATAGAACACATCGTCGATTCAAGTCGCCGATTGTGGTTTGTGTCTGACTTCCCTCACTTGGTCAAATGTGTAAGAAATTTCTTAATAAAACATGGACTTCTAGAAGCAATTTGGGTAAAAAATTAATATCAATTTTTATTTATTAATTTAAAAACTTAATTTAGTAAATTTTCATTTTTAAAAATGACTTTAGAATCATTCAACAATTTTTTAAATAAATCCATATTATGGAAAATAAAATAAATCTAATATAGTAAGTTTACATTTAAAAAAAGTAATATCTTGAAATTAATGCTTTCCAAACTTTTAACAAATTGTACTGGCAGTTAGTCGATTCGAACGAAATTAGATGAAAATTGTACTTCAATATATACTCAGAATATATATATATTATATTACTATGATATTTACTGTCATGAATTTTTTAGACTCCAGATGGATTCATCGCGTTAATAATTTGGTTTTCCTTATTGGATTGCGAAAATACAGAAGATTTTTCTATAAAAGCAAACTTCAAATTTACAAAGAAGCACTTGCGACCCAGCTTATATGAGAAAATGAACGTCGCCTTGGCTTTCCAAGTACGTGATTTTATTGGTAAAAAATATTACTTTGATTTAATCAAATGAATAAAATATTTTCTGCTTTTTAAAAATTAACAGTTTTTTGGAGTCGCTGACCTTTTGGAATTAAATAAAAATAAGCACCCGGATTTAGAAGAGTGTGACTCTGCGATTGCCTTTTGCAAAAAATGGAAGGCTCTAATCAATGCTATGAATAGCAGAACACCAATAGATGCCTTAAAAGTTGACAATGAACCTTATAAAGTATGATCCATTTACATAAAATCAATATCAATTAAATGTTTGTTCTTAATAATACAACATTCAATTTCACGCTTGTATATTATACTTTACAGATTATTCAAAATTTTTTAAAATATCTTGAAGAATGGCAATCAGTGGCAACAGAAAAAAACTATAAATGTTTTCACAACAAAACGTTCTATGGGTTAAAAGTTTCTTTGAAAGCCACCCTAGAAATATGTCAATATCTGATAGAAAACTGTGGGTTCAGTTATATAATGACTGCTAGATTAAATCAGGATAGCTTGGAAGTACGCATTTTTTACAAAGGAAATTAAATTTTCTAAGTGTTCTATCCCAAAAAAATCAAAGTTTTTCAAAATTATTTTGTTAGTCTTGTTATTAAAAGTTCTCTCTTATTTCCACTTTCATCTAATTTTAAAGAAAAAAGAAATTTACTTTTAAATACATTTTTTTCAAGTAATTCACAAGTTGTAGTTAATTCTTATAAAAAATTTTAAAAAAGAATAAATTTATTATCTTTTGTTCATAAAGTCAATAAAAATTTAATGTTTTCAAAAAAAAACTTGATTTAAAAAAAATTGCATTGTCATTACATAACTGAGATTTTATTTTATAAAATTTTGAACTATTCAGAAAACATTGAATTTTATGGGTGCAATACTTGAAAAATTTTGTCCCACATAGAATTTAAATTATATTTTTTTTATTAATGGTTTAATGCATAATTTTGTTGTATTGTAGCGCTTCTTTGGAATGATGCGAGAGAGTTGTGGTGCGAACGACCACCCGGATTCGCGACTGTTCATACAATTATACAGATTAATTTCAACTTATTCTTTGATCGAGTCTCCGAAAGGATCAAATGTAGCAAGCTCAGAGATATTTGACGCTCTTTTACAAATTCAAGATATTGAGGAGAGAAATGAAAGAAAGAAAAAATGGGAAACTGAACTTGATAAAATTTTGGATAGTGGATCGAATATTGATGCATTAATTGAGGCCACAACTCTTTTACAAGACCACGATTATTGTGAATCAGAGACATCTGTTTATGCCAACGCTTATGTTGCTGGATATGTAGCACTCAAGGCTTCTTTGAGATTCGCAAAATTCATAGTAGATGAAAAAAGTGTCGTTTGCAAAAATTGTTGCGACGCATTAATTTTGTCTCCAAATGACCCGATACCAGAGCGACACAAACTCATCGAATTACGAACTAAAGGAAATCTAAAAAATCCTTCAGTTAAGCTATGCAATCTTATTAACATTTTAGAGGTTGCGGTAATGAAAATTGTAGGAAGTGGCAAGCTTGAAGAGGATACATTATTCCAGGTGACTTCTGCTCTTCAAGATTCATGTTCTGTACAATTGATCGGTTGCACAGATCACGCAGAATCACTCACTCGACGAATAATAACATTTTATTTAACAACCAGAATGTATTTCATATCAAAACAATGGAATAAAAATAATACTGAGAGAGCAAAGACAAGAGCAAAACGAAAAGAAGCTAAATTAGTCGAAGAACGCGATCGAGATGATGACACATATTTAAATGAACCACAAATTGGCGAAATACGAAGAGAAAGGAAAATTACTTTCCCGGAACTGAAAAATAAAAGACAAAAAATACAGCAAGATCAAGTGCAATAATATAATGTAAATAGTCTACAATAAAAAATACATTTTTATTGACACCTTTTGTACTACATTTTATAAATCACTTAATTTCTTATTTATTATAATCTATACAATTTTTAATAAATATAAATATATACAAATTCATTCATCTAAATAGCTAAAACGCATTAAAAAATATATATTAAATGTCAAAAATAGAAAACTATGAAAAAATTCCTTGTATAAATCAAAAATTAATTTCCATTTCATTACATATTTAATACAATAACAATAAAATAATTAAAAATCCTCCAATATTAAAATATTGAGACTATAAAAATTTCTATTTTATACTTAAAAATTTCATGTATAAATTAAAAATAAAATAATATTGCAAATTTTAAAATATATAAAATAAAATCTAAATAAAACAAAAATATAATTCACAAGTTGATTACCATAATTGTATAAAGTTTGTAAATTTTAGGCGCTCGTATCAGAAGTTCTTTTCTTTTAAATTACATTTGTCATTTCTACTGCATTCACGTTAACCTCGTTAATAGTTTTTAAAAGATTATTAAATTCTTCGACATTAGTTACTTTTATGTATGGCGAAAAAGGCATCACTTTGTTGTTAAAATAAATTCTTATTTCCATATTATTAAATACTCCCACTCTTTTTAAAACTTTGTAATTCTCTTCAACTCTTTGAAAACCAAAAAAGGTTTCATTTCCTTTTGTATAACACCACCTCTTGTCAGGTAATTTAACAAATTCCAATTGATTTTGTAAATTTTTGAATATTAACTTAGAATCTGCATGTGCTGTAACATTTGTGTACTTTTCTACGTCGTCTTTACAACTTTTCATTTTTCAGTAATTATAAGAATCTGTAAAATTATTTTACATTATTAAACACAAGAATTTTCATGTGGATTTTAAAATATTAACAAATTAAAAAAATTTCTTATTCTTTGAGCAAAAAGTTTATTAAATAGAATGTTTATTAATTATGAAAATAGATAATAATCATCAACACTTACCTCCTTTTTCTTGTTTGATTTTGATATAGTGCAAAAAAACGAATAACAGCACATGAAGCACGTCTCAGCATCACAAAAACAACAAATAACTGCATTTATTTATTTAAATAAAATTTGTCACAGTTATAATAATTCCTTGTTGTGCTTGACAATAATCGAAATTGTAGGTTATGTTTACTGTATCAAACTACATAAGTTTTTAATTAGACGATATACTTACTCGGTGGATTTATAATGACTGTAAATACAAGTTTTAAAAATGATATAAATTTTTAAACACAAGTAACTAAAAACATAAAAAAACACGATAAATGCATTTTTGGGTATCTCACCACTTGACACGCGCCACTGTTTAAATTTAGAGCTTACAAGAGTTTTCCGCTAGGAACCGCTAGTGAGGTTAATCCTAGTTGAAGCAATTAATTTCCGGAAAATCGGACTCGGTTTTCTCACACTTTGCCCACCTAGTGGAGCCTCCTTATACTACTCCGTGATCAATATTTCCCATTTTTACACGTTTTCCCTAAATTAAACAAAATTTACTAAAATTTGTACTATACTTCATAAAATTTGTTACCTATTGTCCTTCAGTGAAAACGCTGATTTTTTAATTTGTGAAATCAAAATTAAGGTATTTAAATCGGTCGTTAACCCTCATTTTTTAGGTTATTATTATTTATATTTATTTTCTAAAATTAGTAGACATTAAATTTGATCTTCGTGAAGTAATCGATTATTATTATACCCTATTGAAAAAAAACACGTATAATTATACGTATAATAAGACATACGAATTTGAAACAAGAATTATACGTATAATTATACGTATAATAATACGTATAATTATACGTATTATTATACGTATAATTATAATTCTATTAAAACTAGAATAATAGAATAGAATAGATTAATTAGTAGCAAAATTGCGCTGAAAATTTTTAGAAATTTTAAAATGCAAATTAAATTTCACGAAAAAAAATATCGTCGAATGTCAATTCAAGCAGTCACCCATCCAAGTACTAACCGCGTCCAACGTTGCTTAACTTCCGTGATCTGATGAGAACTTGTTCCTTCGCCTTGGTGTATTGTATCGCACCTAACCTCACTTTTAGTGATACTTATACGACAAAGTTATTAATTAAGACAAGACAGCGGAAACACCAAGGCGAAGGAACAAGTTCTCATCAGATCACGGAAGTTAAGCAACGTTGGACGCGGTTAGTACTTGGATGGGTGACTGCTTGAATTGACATTCGACGATATTTTTTTTCGTGAAATTTAATTTGCATTTTAAAATTTCTAAAAATTTTCAGCGCAATTTTGCTACTAATTAATCTATTCTATTATTCTATTTTTAATAGAATTATAATTATACGTATAATAATACGTATAATTATACGTACAATTATACGTATAATTATACGTGTTTTATTTCAATAGGGTAATTAGTAAGAATGTAGGAATTTTATAGTTATATTAAAAATAATTCATAGGTGAAATTCTGAGCTAGTGATAAAAAGTAATTATGATTATTATTATTAATATTCAATTAAAAATATTCCCGAGTTATTACATAAGAATCCGTACTAAAAAATATATCATATTACAATAATTATTATTTTTCTATAATTATTTTTATTGAAAAAAATCTGTTTAAGTTGCATATAACGCAAGATATAGTTTTATTATCTCTTTCACCGTGCAGCGTCAAATATAAACAAAACTTATTCTGTTTTCAACAATTTAGATATGCGAATTTCTAGTGTCCAAAAATTAATTAAAATTGCAGAAAATGATTTATACAATTTTATATATATTTACCGTAGTGTAAGATCAATCATACTTACATTCCAGTTTTCTATTTCTGACAATCTATTTGCCAAAACTGATCCGGCTGTTCCTCCTCCAACTATTATAAAATCATACTCTATATCATTTTGATTAAAGTATGATTTTTTATATACTTCTTTTATGCTTTTATTCCTCAATAAAGGAGTAATTAAATTTAAAAGTGCACAAAAATGCACTGCCGATTGACATGATGATTCTGTCACGTTTATAGAACAAGTAGGGATCATATTCTAAGAAAAAGAAATTAAAACACAACAAATGATAAACTTTGTTTTAAAATTGTGACGCACTCTGAAGAAAGGGAGCTTAGAAGAAAACGTAATATAGGTTATGTTTACGATAGTTTTACCTTGATTAAAAGTTTCTTTGTATTTTTATAAAATTAACATTATTTTTATTTATTACATAATTTTTTTATTTCGAATGCAATGAAAACTTAATTACATAGACGGAAGAAGCATAAATTTTTATTATTTATATTAAGAGTTTATTCTCTTTGTGTATTTTCACTTTAAAATATAACCTATAATTTTTTGCTAATAAAGTCCCTTTCTTCAGAGCGCGTCACAATTCCCAAGTAGCACGTAATATTAAAATGTCCGCCTCATGGTAATATTACCGGATAATGTTACTGTAATATAATTCAAATTTTCATAACATTTTCATTTCATTTTTAATGGTAACTAATAGATTTTAGGAAATTTTTAAACATTGAAAATATCACTTTTATTTTTTGTGTTTTAGGAATCATATGTTTCTATTTATATTTCTTCCTTAATTTTATAAATAAAACAGCATTGATAACAAGATATTTTAACTCGTGTTCTTTTCATTAGAAGATGCACGTGACATGCTTTTTTTGTCTATTCTTAGATTTCTGAAAGATTGAAGGTCAGTAAATACTTTTCCTAAGACTATTAATCATTTACTTGTGTGTAAACCAGTTTTTTCGTATTTTTCATTTCTTTATTCTAATTTCTTCTCAATAAATTATTTAAAATTTTTTTTCTATTCTATCAATTTTCGATAAATTTATAATTTTCAATACTGTATTTTGTGATTTCAAATAAAGAATCATAAATTCTTCTTTTATGTAAGTAAATATATTTATATTTAATTGGTTTAAGTAAATTTAATTTTATAAAAAATAAAGTGAAAAACATTGATAGTAAATAATTTCAATAATTTAAATATGCATAAAAATATTAAAAATAATGAAAATATGTGGAATTATTTTAAGAAAATCGGAAATTAGAATTTATATTAAGTATAATATTTTAACATACCATTTGATTTTTGTTGTAGACAAAAGGCAACTGACTAAAACACAAGCTTGTTTCTGTGCAAAAGGGTCTAAAGCAGGTATTCTCCAACTCTTTTTACAGATACATGTGGGCATCCCAAAACTCGTATGATGTAATTTTTTACAAACTCAACTGAATATTCAGGCATGCCAATCTTTTACCACATAAAATCAAAATAACATTTGTTAGCGCTTAATTTAAATTTTATATTTCAAACGCGCATCTATTTCTAGTATTTAAAATTGTTAATAAAAATTCCAAAAAAAAGATTACTTTATGATTTATTCATTTTTTACATATAAAATTATTGTTAAAAAGTTATTTGAAAATATTCGATACAACAAGGAAAAAATAACAACCTATAATAAAATCTTAAATGAAACGCGGGAAATTTTAAAATTACTAATAATATAAAAGTGAAAAATGTGGTGCCGTTTTAAAAATAATAAAATAATACAAAAATAATTAAATACAATAGTATATGTTATGTTTATTTAAGACGCAAGGCTAATGTTTGTCGATTTAATTTAATTAATAAAAACTTCGTTGGGACAAGGATGATAAATAAATGGATTTCACTTATAAATAATAAATATATTTATTGAAATGTAAACAATTAAATATTAATGAATTATTTTTGATACAAAAACAGATTTTTATATTTATCAATTGATAAATTACATTTTTACATCATCATCTTATTAATGATACAGCACTGTAGTACTTTTTATACTTCTAAGAAGAAAAAAAAATTTTAATGTTCAATGAATAATAAAAATGTAAGTACTCTCCATAAGGAATTACATTTCAATTATTTATTATTCTTTTCTTTCTTTACAATTTTTTGTTCTCTTTATATTTAGTTTTATATATATTTTGTTCTTACTTTTGTTTTTGTTTGTTATAAATAATAAAAATTATTTAAAAATAAAATTATTTATTATATTACTTCTTGTTAACTTTCGTGAAATAATTGATTATTATTATTATAATTAGTAAGAATGTAGGAATTTTATAGTTTTATTAAAAAAACTTCATGGGTGAAATTCTGAGCTAGTGATAAATAATTATAATTAGTCGATTTATATTCCAAAAAAAGTCGAAAAAATCGATTATTTTCATTTAAAAAAAATATTTTACAGATTTTTAAATAAATTTTTTTTAAAATAATAATTCTTTTGGAAAAGTTAAAGTTGAAATTTTTAGAAATAATTGAATTTTATTTAATTTATGATTTTAAATTAAAAATTTTTGGTAATTTTATTTGATATTTTTTCAAAATTATAAACAATTCTATATAGTTGTCGACAAGTTACCGTTAATGTTTGTTTAATTTATAAATTAAAATTAGTCGTCGACAGTTTACCGTTAATGTTTGTTTAATTTATAAATTAAAATTAGTCGTCGATAAGTTACCGTTTTTAACGATTGGTAGAAAAGTCTGAATATTTTTCACAAGTGGATTTACAGCTTTACACCTAAGATGTCAAAAAGAGTTAAAAAATTTATTTTCGAAAATAATGGGAATAAAAAAAATTTGAATTATAATTAATATTATTAATTTTTAGTGCTGCCCAACGAGACCCTCGACGATATTTAAAAAAAATTATTATTATGAGAATTCATTTATTATTTTTAATTTAATTTATTAATTTATATAATTAATTAACAGAGAAATATATTTCAGCTAAACATTTTTGTTACATTTTCTTTAAACATTTTTTTCGAATTTAACCCTCCGTCAGTCGCATTTTTTTTGAAAATTATAAATTTGACCTGCCACGTGAAATGTACAAAGATCGATAATATTAATTGGATTTTATGAAATAAGCCATGATTAATTAATTAGATAATTATTATGAGATTTATCGTTTTAAACTATATTAAATGAAATTGGTGAATTAATAAATTATTAGAAATATTACATCTTCTAAAAATATTTAATGGTGAAATTCTGAGCTAGTGATAAGTAATTATCATTAATATGAAATTTTATAACAGATGTAACAACTAATGTTACTTCGTCATGATATATTTTTAATCAGATTTGTAAAAAAAAACTGAAAATCGATATAATTATTGTGTCTCAAATGAGAGTTGGGTTAATTTTTTTTAAATTTAAAGTAAAAATAAGAAGATAGAAAATAATACATGTTGAAAATGAATAATTATTTAATTTAATGTAATAAAGAGTTTTTTTTTAGAAATCTGAGCTAGTGATAATTAAACTTTAATTTAATAACACAATATCAATTTTATGAATAACTACACTGAAAAAATGTTTGGTCAGTACAATCAAACTTTGGTTGTGCCAATCGAATTGTTTTGGTTAGCCTAACCAAAGTTTGGTTGTACTAACCGAAAATTTGATTGCTCGGACCATACAATTTTTTCAGTGTATCTCATTAGTAACAATTATATTAAATCCTTGACAACAATACTTGATAATGTTCACGCGATATCGTCTTCCGCGGTGCTTTATTACTTTTTAAAATGTTATTTAAATATAACAAACGTGTTTTAATGATGAAGAAAATAATGAAATATAATGAAAATAAATAAGTAATTTAATATAAAAAAGATTTTCTATTAAAAAATCTGAGCTAGTTGCAATTAATTACTTGCATAATTATCTCAAAAGAGCATGTTTATAATTAATAAATTGGTGTGAGTTTTGTCAATTTTGAAATATTTTCCAAAATTTAAATAATGAATGATTTCAATTGAATGCCAATAAGGCAAACAGACATTAATGATTATTTACATGAAATAAATTTTTTAATTTATTGCAAATGGATGTGCAAGTTACTAATTTGTTAATATTAATTATTTTTTATGATGATTTGTTAAACATCAAAAAAAATTTCTACTACATTTTTCAATCACCGTAATATCTGTGTCACATTTTAATTTTAATAAAAAAAACTTGTTCGCTTCTAAAGAGATAATTTTCGATAATTATTTAAACAATTTAGTTTTAAATTTTTGTTATCAATTTTAAAAATTATATTTAGTTTTTATTACAATGAACATCAACCTTTTTTGTATTATTCAAAAGTAATTAATTAACGTGAAAGAATATTAAATTTCAAAGCAGTTTATTTTTACTGCTTTTAACAAAATTTAAAATAGTACTCCACAATCTCCTTACAGAAAATTTTACATGTCCCAGTTCATAAACAGATATTTTGAAAATGAGAAATGACATTTACATTTCCTTTTGCTTATATATTTTTTAAACTAGTGAATCAGATAAAAAAAAAATAGAAATATACAAAATTTTGACTAAAAATAGTTTTTATCATATTCAGAGAAGATCGCATTATTATTGTGGATTTGAAAATTTTCTACAGTCAATAAATGTTAAATAAAAAGTTGAATACAGATTTAAGCAACTTTTTAGCGAATATAAAGAGAAAAATTTAATTAATTCATTGTTGGATTCCGATAAATTCCCCTGACAGTTGGTTAATTTTGGACTAATTTTAAAATTATCTAATTACAATATTTATTGTAATTATTTTCCATATACAATCAGCAAATCACGAACTCTGACATGACTACTGTTAGATTTTGTATTTTCCTTGTGGCTAGGAAATGATTTTTTGTCCGCAAACCTCATGTCACTGATTCCTCGCAATCTACAGAAGGTGCCACTAATCAACTAAGAAGCGAGAATCACAAAAAAGCATCATGCTTTTTTTTATAAAAATATAAATATATTAACAATGAATATTTTTTCCTCTCTAATACCACAATTTCTTTTTTTTTGCATTAATTCTGTATCATTCTTCACATTTAGTAATAGCATTTTATTTAAATATATAATATTTTTAATATTTCCTTTTTTTCTACAAAATTTATAAATATAAATTTCAATTAAATGTAAAAAATATTTGGAAAACAATAAAAATGCGATTCTACATTAATGTTAATGCAATAAGTAGCAAAATTACGAAATAAAAATGATCTAAATGCAAGTTTATAATATGTAAAAATTAATTGTTATTATAAACCAAATTTTGTATATTTCCCAATAAAAATTCAATTATGAAATTCACCGTTTATTTAATGAGACTTTTATGTTTATATTTATTTTTTTTTAAATTTAAATATTTAAAAGAAGATAATTAATTCATTTTTTTTTGTTATTTACAAAGTATTGTAAAATTGTATCTAAAATTTAATTAATGTAATAATTTTATTTATTACAATTTCAAAAAAAGGTTGATTCTCACGGTATAATAAATTTTTTTTATTTTTAATTTATTTTAATTTAATATTTCTAAATAAACAAATATTTATTTTTAAAAAATATTTAAATTTACATAATTCGTGTCAGATTATAAAAATTATAACTGTAAATGAAATCATACTAGAAACCCTGCCGCCTACACAGAATGTGGTACCACATTCAGAAGATAAAGCTGTAATCATTATGCAAAAAGGACACATACGCTATATCAAGTCTCAAAATTCATGATTTAATTAAATTTCAATTAAAATTGTTTTTTAATTCTTTAACAAATCCATAAATTTTTAACAAATCGGATAATTGCAAAATATTAAATATTTTACTAATTTAGTATTAAAAATTGAATTTAAGATAAAAATAAATAAAAAAAAAATACTGCGTATAAAATAAATACATACCTTTATATTGAAGCTTTGTAATATGTAGAATAAAAAAAAAAAGGAAAAATGAAAAATCTTTCCATTAAAAAAAAATAAATAATCGGCCATTGCTGATTATATTTATGTACTTACTCACTAGTTGAAGAAATCACAGGTTTTGATCTCATCTGTTTTTTTTTCTTTTAAAGAAATCTTTCCCAAAAATTAGAAAATTGCCTTGTGTTGACAAATAGAATCAAAAAATAGGTCGCAACAGCATCTGTATTAGACATTTATAATTTATTTAAATTTTGCATTTTAAGAGAAATTTCATTTATAATATTACTAATAATTTATATTTAAAGCCAAAACCTCTAATCCCTTTTAATTTTTATATTTGTTACAAAAAAAAACGTTTATTTCGAATTTTTAATAAAATTATAAATAAAATAATTTTAATAATTTAAAATAAAATATATATGAGACTAAAAATTAATAGAAAAATTTTTTTTATAAGAATCATGCGAAGTTTTAAATTTAAAAATTAACAATCTTAAAATATACATTTAAAATTATCAATTTTTAACATAGACAAATTTGAAATTTAATTTCTTTATAAAAAAATCGACAAATTTTCTTATAAAGAATATGATAAAGAAAATATTTCTTTATAATTCAAAGAGAAAAAAAAATTAATTTGGAAAATTTAAATTTTTATCAAAATACAAAATCGCTTTTTAATTTCAAATTTATCAGTTTTTATTCTAATTAACAATTTTAAAATTTTATTCCAGAAAAGGTAAAAAATACTTTTTATTTAAAAATAGACAATTTTATTTCACTTTTAAAGCTAAGTTTTCTTACAACAACAATAACAACAAAACTAATTATAATACTTTAATTATTAAAATGTTTTTGTTCTTTAAATAAAATTAGAAATTAATCTAAATTTAAAAAAATTCAATTAAAAAAAAACTTTCTAGTACAAAAGAAATTTACGTTTTATATTATTTGAATCCTCGTTTCAGTAGTAATAAGAAATCGTTGAAACAAAAACTCAATATTATTAAGTAGAAAATTTAAAAAATTAAACATACGAACAAGAATTCTCACCTATTTTTAATCAATGTTTTTCTAAAGCTTTTGCTAATAACTCGTTCATACTTGTCAGTAATGTTCGTGGATCTTCGACAAGTCCAGCGCCAACCATTGAATTCATAAATAACTAAAAAAAAATAAATTAAAATTAATTTACTTTTCTTTTGTTTAGCAACTAAAATTTAATTTCAAACAATTTTTTTTTTTTGGAAATATTTACCTGTTTTGTAAGTAATTCAGCTAAAACAGAGTCGGAGCTGCTAATTTTAATCAACTTTTGTATAATTGGATGATTTGGATTAATTTCAAATCGTGGTTGAAGTAAAAGATATCTTGAATTATCATCTAATTTATTACTTTGCGTTCGAATAAAATGTCTTGCCGACGCCATATCTTGTACAGTGACAACACATGGATGTGATTCAAGACGATTTGTTGTTTTTACTTCAAAAGCTTTTTTATCCAATACTTTTTTCATGAAGCTTATTAAATTATCAATATCTCCCTTATTTAATGTCTCTATTTTAATAAATAAAAAACAAATTTTAATTAAATATTTTGTATTTTTCAAATAATCCTCTTTTATTCAAATAATAAAAATAATAAATAATTGAAAAACTAAATTTCAAAACAGAAAATTAAATTTTTTTTTTAATAAGTATATTAATTACTAATTTATAGAAAAATAATAATAATGTTAATCAAAATCAATGATTTTTAGCAAAAATAATTTTCTACAAATTTTCAAAAATTCTCAAAAACGATAAAAAATTATTAAAATTATAGTTTTCCTATTATTTTAACATAATTTTGGAAGAAAAATTATAACTTTGTCAAAAATAAATTATTTTGAAAAATTTTCATTGTCAAAATCGATTTTTTCTAAAAATTCGCAAATACGATAAAAAAATTTGTTTTAATTTAGTTTTTTCCTATTATTTGAACGTAATTTAATAAATATTTTATTTAACAATTATTGTTAAAATATTTTAATTATTAATTTAACAATTAAAAGTATTTAACAATATAATTTTTAAAAAAAGGTGAAAAAAATTTACCAAATTGATTTTTATCTTTTTCAGCATCAGGATCTTGTCTCAATTCTTTTTCCACTGAAGTAAGATTAAAATTATTAAAACGTCCCAAATGCATTAATACCAATTCATCATATGGTTCTGTACAGAAAAGTACTTCGAGATTTCGTTTCTTAAACGATTCAAAATATGGCGATTGTTCAGCTAATGTTCGACTACAAGAAAGTAGAAAATAATTATTTAAAGGAAAATTAAAATTTCGAATTTCGAAAAAAACAAAAATAAATAAAAATTTATACGAATTTTTACTTAACAAAATTTTTCATGACTTTTTATTTAAGAGAATTTTAATTTAATCCAATTTTAATTTATCAGAATTCTCATTCAATCGAATTTTATCTGATTCGAATTTTTTAAATGACAAATTCCAATTCACCGAATTTTAATTTGTCCGAATTTTTAAGACGCTGAATTTTCATTTGTCCGAAATTTGAAATTGCCGAACAAACAATCGATTTCGGCGCGATTTTTAAAAACAACCAATCAAAAATTATCGATAAAATTGTGATTGGTTGATTTTAAAAATAGTGCCGAAATCTTTCTGTTGATTATTTGTTCGGACATTTGTAATTTTGGACAAATTAATGTTCGGCGTCTTAAATTTCGTTGAAATAAAAATTTGGACAAATTAAAATTAGGTAGGTAAAAATTTTGTTAAGTAAAAATTCATTAAAAAAATAATAATAAAAAAAATTTACCTTGGTGCTGATAAATAATATATATCCTTTTGTTCTGTTGTTAGATTTTTACAATATTCTGGAAGACTAACTAATTCTCCTGGTGCTTTTAAAGACGATTCAAATCTTAAAAGTTTACCAATACTCTCCTATAAAAAATCAAATTGAAAAATACTTTCATTATTATAAAGCTTTTTAAACATTTTTTCAATGTTTTGTTATTCTTATTTATTTATTGAAAATATACTTGTTTTTTTTAAATTCTATTTACCTTTTCTGTTGAATCGTTACTCATTACAATTCCTTCCTTTAAAAAGAAACCATAGTCTTTGTAAAAGTTGGTAAATTCCTCAGTTTGTTTCACTGAACGATCGTATAGGAATTTCAAAATTCGAGACGTAAGTACATTTCGTATTTTTCTGAAAAATATTTAAAAAAATTCTTATATAACATCTTTTATGTCTAATTTAATTAATTCTTATTTTAGGCTAATTAATAAATAAGATTTTTTTTAAATAAACAGTTGGATAAAGAGAAATTTTTTAAAATGAAATTCTGTTAATTAATAATTTAAAAAAAAAATCTGTTTTCTTTCTAATAAAATTCTTTGGAACTGAAAATTCTAATTTAATTCATGCGCCTCAACATGTATTTTGAATTTCGTAGAGTTTTCTAAATTAATTTTTTCCCCCAAAAAAAATCTATTGTTGCCCACTATTTTTTATAATTTTTAAAATTCTTAAAAACAAACTTACGCTATGAGGGCGCTATTTTGCAGCAATTCTCTACTTAAATTTAGAGGAATATCTTCTGAATCGACAACACCTTTAATAAATCTCATCCATTTTGGCAATATTGTATCAGCTTTACTCATTATTAAAATTTTCCGACTGTACAAAGAAACTCCAATTGATGAACTCGTGCTACTTTCAAAGAGACTTGGTTTTTCATCGGGAAAATAAAGTAAAGCTCGAATATTAATTGGCGCATCAGTTGTATAATGTAATGTAAATCGTGGTGAATCATAACAATTGCCAATAAAACGATAAAATTCAGAATGTTGTTCTGGTGTCACATCTTTTGGTTCCATTGTCCACAAAGGCTATTTTAAAATTTAAAAAAAAAAAATATTATTAACTTCCAAAAAAGATGGCTTTTTTACGATAAAAAAAATCATTTCGGTCAAAAAAAAATCCACAACTAACCTGAATAACATTGACTTTTTTTCCATTAACAAAAATTGGACTTCCAACAAAATTACTATATTTTTTTATAATCTCTGTAAATTAAAATTTCGAATTAAAAAAATATATATATTGAGAAATAAAAAAAATATATATATATTCAAGCCTCGGATCGACTTAAAGGCACAAAAAAAGTCGTTTTAGTCGATTTATATTCAAAAAAAAGTCGAAAAAATCGATTATTTTCATTTTTAAAAAAATATATTTTATTAAAAAATTTTTTTTAAATGTAAAAAAAAGTCGGAATAGTCGCATTATATTAAAGTAAATCGAAAAAAGTCGTATTTTTGGAAAAAAAACTCGGAAATAGTCGAAAAAGTCGTATAATCCGAGGCCTGTATATTTTCTAGAGGTAAAAAATTAATTACTGTTAATTGTGTCGTCATCGCTGAATTCACGACAATCTGTACGTAAATGTAATACTATTTTTGTTCCCGGTTGAACTCCATCAGCATTTGAAATCTCATAAGTACCAGAACTGTTAATAGAAGATAAAAATTCATATATTTATCTATTTATAAAATTTCCTTAGCAAATACTGATTAAAAACTAAAATTTCTTTTTCTTAATTTTAAATGAAAGGAAAAAAAATATATATTTCAGAAAATTATTTTACCCATCAGTTTTCCAATAAAGACCTTCGGAATCTTTTTGATAGGATTTAGTGTAGACTTCAACTTTATCGGCAACCATAAAGGCACTGTAAAATCCAACACCAAATTGTCCAATAATATTTGAAGTATCAAAACCTTGTTTCTCTTTTAATTTTTCCAAGAAAGCCTAAAAAAAATTGATTTTCCCTCTTATAAACTTTTGCAGATTTAAAATTTTTTACTTTTTTACCATAAAATCTATGAAAGCATAATTTAAAAAATAAATTTAATTTATATATTTAAAAATTTCTCATAAACGGAAAAAACTAAAAATTCTGGACAAAATTGATTAAAAACCAATATTAACCAATTTCAGAAATATTAGCGAATTTGATTCATTTAATTATGTTTCTAAAATTATCTGAATTAGCTTCAATTAGATTCTATTAAATTTTAGCAGATTCTATCAATTAATTATTATTATTTTGCAGTTATTACCTTTGAACCAGAACGGGCAATAGTTCCTAAATTTGAAATTAATTCATCGCGAGACATTCCAATTCCAGTGTCTTGAATTGTAAGAATTCTATTTTGTTTATCGGTTCCAATATGAATTTCTAAACTTCTATCGCCACCATCATCGGTCGATAAATTTTCACTAGATCTTATGTAGCGAAGTTTCTCTAAAGCGTCACTTGCATTTGAAATTAATTCACGTACAAAAACCTGAATTATAATTTTTCTTTTCAATATTTAATTGCATTGTTTCAAAAAAAAAAAATTTTTTAACGATTTTTTTTTATACAATACAAGCCCTGTAAAATATAATGCAATGCAGTTTATAAAGTAATAGAGAATAAAATAAAATTACCTCCTTATCAGAATAAAGAGACTTTGCAACAATATCTAAAAGCATTCTAGTCTCTGATTGAAATTCATATTTGGAACTATCACCTTAAAAGAAAATCGAATAATTTAATTTTTCAGAAACATAACGTCCTTCTGTTTTAATGTGAAACATTTTTTTTTAATTTTTAAATCAATCTACAGGTTTCAATTTTGATGCAAATTATAGGAAACTTATCGAATAATTTTACATGTTAAAAACATTTTATTAAATTCTCCATTAACTCATTGAGTCTGAATTTTAATTTTATTTTTTACATCTAATTTAACCGAATTTTAGTCTAGCATACTTCTCTTTCAATTGAATTTTAAATGATTTGAATTTTTAAATCTAAAAATTTCTAATTCACCGAATCTTCAATTTTTTACGAATTTTTATTTGCACAAAATCTTATTTGATATATATATATATATATATAATTATTAAAACGATGAATCTTTATTTGTCCGAAATTGCAAATGACCGAATATTCCAAACAAAAATTGTCAAGAAAATCGTGATTAGTAAATTTTAAAAATAACGCAGTAAATTTTCTCTCAAATATTTATTTGGCCATTTGTAATTTCAGGTAAATAAAAATTCCTCGTCTTAAGAATTTAATGAAATAATAATTCGTATAAAAATTTGGACAAATTGAAATTCATTTAAAAAAAAAGTTGTATACAGAGAAATTTTACAAAAATTAAAAATACAGAAAATTAAGAAAAATTGATTAATTTTCAAAATTAAAACCTGTAGACCAAATTCATTTCAAATCAAACAGACTTAAACGTAGTTTATCTAAAATTAAGGGGAAAAAAATACTTCACCATGAATAATATTTTTTATAAGAATTTAACTTGTGTCTAATTCTGGAAAATTGTTTTTCTCTTCTACCAAAATCGGGCATAAAATAAATACTTATAAAAAAATATTCTACACGGTGAAGACAATCTAGAAAAAAATTTTGAACAAAAAAAAGTGAAGGTTTTGAGTAATTTAAACACGAAGTAGTACATATATGGAGACCCCACTGTCCGGGAAAGCTAAAGCCGTTTCCCGGTTTCTCTTACAATTAACGGAGGTGTCGAACCCTAACGGGAAAATTTGATACCTACGAAATTTCGTCTGCTAAAAGTGACATGAGCAATGTAAACATGGACGGCAGCCATTTTGCTAAAGTTCTATGTGTCAGTAACTGTACGTACACATTTTGTGCCAGTGTGGGTAACTAGTTCCCAACTTTTCCGATAGGTTCGACACCTCAGTTAATTGAGAGAGAAACGGGGAAATCAGCTTCAACTTAAGAGCAGTAGGGTCTCCTTATACTACTTCATGAATTTAAATTACATTTTTTTAAAATGGCTGCCATTTTGTTATTTTTGAACATTCTTTAATTTTTCCAACGGATTTTGAAATACTTAAAGTTTTTTTCCCCAAAATTTTAGATAAACGACGTTACAGCCTGTCTGATTTGAAATGATTTATGTCTGTAATGAGATTCGGATAAAAAAAATTTGAATCTGCTTCAACTGCAATGTCGTTGAAGTGAAAAAAAAATTCACATTTATTACCTGAAGCTTTCTCCGTGTCTTTTATTATGTTATGCAATTCAGTTTCAGATTTGTTTTCAGCTGCAGCTTGAGATGAAAAAAGTCTAACAGAGTTGCTTACCAAAGCTAAAACATTAATATTTGTCTTTAATAATCACAAGACAATTAGTATTATTAATATGATATTGATGACAACTCCTTATGATAAATTTATCATCAATTTTATTATTCAGATTTAATGTACAAAAAAAGTTGCTTTTAAAATATAATTATTTAACAATTTTTTCATACCCTAATATTGAATTTGAATTCAATATAATAATTTATTCAAGACCTTGTTTATGGTTACTGATTGAAGAAATCGCAGAAAAAACAATTAATTCCATAGTGAAAATGTTTTTATATTGCTTTTTAAACATTATATTAGGCTTAAATATTTTACATAAGCGCCCTTTTTTCATGTGGTTGAAAATACGAACGTTCAAATGAACGAAATCTTCCGCATAGTGTGATCGACTTAATTTCAAGCTAAAATGAAATAAATATATGTATAAACATTTTTTACTACATAACAAGTATTACATCGTTATTAAAAGTCACCAACAGAAATTTTTTTTTTTTTAAATTCAAACTTTTAAAAATAAATAAGAAAAAAACAAAAACGTATATGGAAATGAATTTCAACTAATTAACTACTAATGAAGACAAGTTTTAAATTAAAAATTTTAGAGGAAAAAATTGTTTATTTTTTAATAATAAATATGAAAAAAAATATTAGAAACTTCGGACCCTCCAAAATTTTGAACAACGAGCAAACTTTTGCGGGAAAATTGAAAAAATTTACTTTACGTCTAATTGTTTATATTGAAGAACAGGTTATTTTGAAAAATTTAAATGTCGTTAAATTAAAAAGTAATAATTAAGCTTCTGAATGTAATAATCGTTGTAGTCAGACGCATACTCTGTTTGTAGTCGATTAGCAATGAATAACAATAAACTCTTGACTGTTGTCTGACTACCATAAGAGAGTGTTTCTGAGCTCTCGTTTGAGCATGCACAAGCTCAATTATTTGTCATTTTGGATGAATTTTTTTTTAATTTTTCTTTTGTTAGTGACTTTTAATAACGAAATTAAGTCGATCACACTATGCGGGAGATTTAGTTCATTTGAACATTCGTATCTTTAAGCACATCTTTTTTCGACTTATAAAAGTTGTCATTCGGCTGTTATAAACACTGTTAAAAAAGTAACTTTACTCTAAAAAGAAATATCTTCTTGGCGTCTTTTTAAGAATAGTTCCCTTTCCTTTTTATTCTTAAAATAAGAATATAAAACTCTTAAAATAAAGAATTTTTAAATTAAGAAATAATTTCATAATTCAAGAATTTTTCGCCAAGAAGATATAGTCATAAATTTAGAGTTTCGTTCTTTTGAATTTATAACAGCCGAACTAGTTTTCTTAATCGCCTGAAATGTGAGCCGGTTATTAAAAAATTGCTAGTTCATAGAAGCAATAAATGATTTAATAAAAGAATAATCAATTATTAAATTAATGAATGATTTAAAAAAAATGAAATTTTATAATATAACCTGGCGCAATACAGCATAATAAATGCAAGTTGAGTGAAAAATACATGATAATAGTAATAAATAGTTCAAAGGTTTTCTCATAAAATAACCTGGCGTAATCAAGGAAAATAAATGAAGAAAATTCTTTACAAATTCTCTTTATAATTTTCGAAAAAATTTTCAATTTTTGAAAATTTGTTTCTTTACAATAAAACAGAAATATTTTGTAAATGAAGATTGAACTGAAAAATGTAGTTCAAGCCGGAATTCTACTATTCTTCTTTGTCTTAATTTTAAAAAAAATATATTTCTTGCATAAGAATATATTTTTTAAAAAAATATATTTCTCGGATAGTAATAAATGAATACATAAATAATGAATTATAAATAATTAATCAATTGTTTAAAAAAAATTGATATTTAATAACCTGGCGCAATTGGGAATAATAAATATCAATGAAAATTATTGAACAATAATTATTTTCGTTTTGAAACGAAAATAATTTAGTAATTATTATTATTAAGGACAAGTTTCAATTTGTCGATGACTAATTTCTTTTTTTTTAATTAAGTGAAAATAAAAATGAAAAATTTGTCATTAAAAATTTAACTTAAAAAAATTATTTAAACCGGGATTCTACTATTCTTTTTTTTCTTATATTTGTTTAATTAAATAGGTTAATTTAAATTAACCATGAATATATATAAATATATATACAAACAGGAATTTTAGATGGTTTCGTTGATAACGTGAACTCTTATGATAATTGAACAACATTAATTTTTTATCCCTGATAATATGAAGAGTTTCAAAATGTAATATTGTGCTTTTTTGAGTCCATGTTATCTAAATTTTGTAATTTAATAATTATTAAAGTAAAAAAAATTATTTTGACAACATATTTTTTTTAAACAAATTTTAATTTGTTTTATATAAATATTAATAATATAAGTTATATTTAAATAAATAAATCAAAATATTGAGTCACTTCACGTGGAATTCCCCATTTATAGATATACCTGGGTCACTTCATGTAAAATTCCCCATATATAGTTTTTTCAATTAAAAAATTTTTTTTTACTACAATAATTTTTAAAAACATATTCGAGAAATTTTGTTTAAAATATATTTCAGAATTGATTAATACGAATTCTAATTATAAAATTTTATTAACATTTTTTTAACTCGAATCAGAAAAAAAATTGTTTAATTTGTAAAAAGTTGTATTTACTATTTATATATTACTATATATATATATTTTTTTTTAAATTAACTTTTTTGTCTTCCGGCAACAAGACAATAATGTAAATTTAAATTTGGCGCTAAAATTACTAACCTCTTTTATTAAGAATGAAATAACGATGCGGTCACAGCTATATTGCATCCAAAATCTATGCAGAACTTCATGGACCGTTTATAATAGAAAACTAGTATTTTGACTGAAAGTAACCAATCGTTCTGCATAAATTTTGCCTTTATAACTGTAACTGTACTCTAAACACATGTAAAACAAAAAAACATTCTTTGTTCGATTTAAAATGCGTTACACGCCATGTGTGTATAGCATAATAAACAATATTCGTAATTAAAGCATTTTAATTTACGAAAAAAAAAAATAATAATTACAATACGATTTAAGTGATTTCATATACACAGAAAATAAATATTCTCCTTATTAAAATCTTTATGCCCAAAAGGAAAAACTAAAAAAAAACTGTTATTGAAAAAGTAACAAAACTGTTAAGGTTATGATATAAAAATTTGAAAACATTTTTATATATTAACTTCAAACAAAATAATGATTAGATAAAGTAAAAATTATTTAAATGGTAAAATTTTCAATAACTCTCAATTAAAATATTATATTCGTACTATGAGTTTATTTGATATATAAAACGAACCTGACAAACGTTGTGGAGTCTCACATGGCAATTGGTGAAATTTTCTATGAGGTATTTGCCTCAAGAACGGTCTTCTTGAAAGAATTACACGCTGGAATCTCCACACAGACATTTTTGTTTATTTATTTTTTAAAATTTCAAGAAAAAGAAAGAAATATTTGATTTTATATGAATTCACTTGAAACACCGGTGATTATATCGTGGCAAGCGGTGAAAAGCGAAAGGGCAAAGTTTGTCGCAAAGACTCACGCCGTCTAGAACTATGAATATTGTAGTACAGAGAACTGCGTACTCAATGGCGAGGGGAAGACATGATGTTTGAAGTCATTTAGTTCATCTACTTCTCTACAGGTGCGCTGCAATCGATAAGTACATTCGTGGCCAGATATGCCTACACTTTTTTGTTCTTTTCTAACGCATATGTTACCATGACAACACGTGTGTTAAAAAAGGACAAAAAAGTGTAGGCATATCTGGCCACGAGTGTATGTAGTTTAAGTTGGGTGGCGAAAAATTCAAGATGGACGTAAGTATTTCTAAGGGCGCACTAACACCTTTTTGGCTGCCTGCCTGCAGGAGTTGTCATGGCAACGTGTAGGAGTAATAGAGATAATAAATTCAAATTTGAATTTTCTCTCTCTCTTACTCCTGCACGTTGCCATGACAACTCCTGCAGGCAGGCAGGCAACCAAAAAGGTGTTAGTGCGCCCTAAACATTAGAAATTTATGGGGGACGAAATTGAATTTTTTTAATATCTCGTTTAAATTAAATTATGGAACCTAAGTATTTTAGAATTTTAGTTTCTATTTTTAATGGTCTATTTAATACAATAATTAAACTAATGAAAAAAATAAAACCATTTTTTATTATTGTATTAAATAGGCCATTAAAAATAGAAATTAAAATTTAATCTTTATATATTTAGGTTACAAAAATTCATTTAAGCTGACTTACGTCCACCTTGAATTTGCCCCCACCCAACTTGAATCTCCACTGGCCATTTGTCATAATTCTCGTCAACTACCGCACCCTGCTCTAGTGAAAATTTAGTAATATTTGATTTTAACAATAAAGTCACTAAATTTTCACTAGAGCAGGGTGCGGTAGTTGCCGAGAATTATGATAAATGGCGAGTGAGGACAATGGAAATAAGACAGCATAAATCGAAACTGAAATTCCGGAATATTTGTTACAGTACTTACTTGAAAATAAGAAAATAAAATGCTTTGTCCTTTAGGATAATTGATTATTGTCAAGAAATATACCAACTAAAACCTTTTTTTTTAGTTAAAATAATGAAAAAAAATTAATGTCGATAAATTAAATATGAGGATATACACATAAAATACAGAAACTTTCTATTCGCAAACGTATTTTAGATTTATTTTAGTCGTATTTCTTTTTTGTTTGAGGACCGTTGTGAATTTGAGCATTATTATTTCTAATTAAAGTTTCGCTATTTTTGTCAATTATCAGAAAATAAAAATAAGAAAAATAAATTAAAAACTTATAAAAAAAAGTTCTTACGATAAACTTCTTGATATTTCGATAATTACTTATCTATTAAATAATTTTAAAAAATAATTAAAAGGCATTAAAAAAAAGTTTTGTATTTTAGTTTATAGTAAAAATACAAAAAACAACAATTAATATCCATTTATTATATCTTGGGTTTTGAACACAAAAAAATTTTTAAATTACTTTTATCAATAAACAAAAAACATTTTGTTTTTTCAATTTCAAAGTATGATATTCTTTTTTAAAATTATTAAATATTAATTTGAAAAAATTAATTTGGAAGCTCTTATTCACCTAAGAGGTTTTTTTTGAAAATTATTTCACGATGATTTTTAACAAAGATGTGCTGAAGAAATATTATTTATTAAAACTTAAAAATACAATAAAATTTTTTTAAAAAATTTTTTTCTATTCCTATATTTATAAAAAGCGACATTTTTTAATTTACAATTTTTTCAAAAATTAATTACTTTTAAGTTTTGTTATCAATTTTTTTTTTTTTTTAGTGTTCAAGCCCAAGATATAAGCTTTAAAAATTCACAGCCATTTTTAGGGTCATAATTATAGCTATACACGATCACATTAATTATAGTCGCATACTTATAAGCAAATAATAATTACACAGTCATTATTTCCCCAAAAAGAGATTACACGATTTTTATGGAATTATCGATACGTAGTTTCGATATTGTTTTCTTCACACGAAGCGCAGTTAATCGAACATGTGGATTATTATTCCAGCACTCGGCCATTAATTTCCCAAGGTTAGATAGAATCTGAAAAGATAAAAAAAAATATTTTGAATTCCTTTTTATTTCTCGCTTTTTACTGAACGAGACTCCGGATCTTAAAAATACACTCGAATTTGCGTCACAAGTTTTGGCTCCTGGTATTAAATTTTGGAAATTTTTCAATATCAAATTCCAACAAAAAGAATCTATTAAATTTTGATATTGAAAAATTTCCAAATTCTAATATAACCAGGGGCCAAAATTTGTGACGCAAATTCTAGCGTACTTTAAAGATCCAGTGCATCAATTATTAAAAAATCTCGATAATTACATGATCATTTTCCCATCTTAATGGAATAATAGGCCGTAATTTTTTGACGCAGACTGCAAGATTCATGTCATCGAAATCCGGATCATTAGGCACAGTGTCATGATATGGTAGTGCGTACGGTTCTGCAGTCGTCAATTTTTCATCCGTTGCACATCGTCGACATACCTCCCAAAGTACAAGACCCACTGAATACATGTCCGACATTTTGAAAGCGTCAAACGAAGACGTATTCAACGTCTCGTCTAAAAGTTCCGGTGCCATGTAACGTCTTGTACCAACTCTTGTGTTTGGTGCAATATCAATTTTCCCACTCTCGCTGCAATTCGAACAAAATTTTCTTATACAGATTTACCCTACACTTTTTTTGTCCTTTTCTAACGCAAATGTTGCCATGACAACACTTGCGTTAGAAAAGGACAAAAAAGTCTAAGCTTATGACTGAACTTTCCAATTCTAACAAAACTGATGAATGAATAAGAATAAAATTAAAAACAAACCTCAACAATCGTACAGCGAGTCCAAAATCAGCAATAACACATTGGCCATTCCTCCGAACGAGGATATTTCGTGTCTTAATGTCACGATGAGCAATTGCGGGTTTTCCATGTGTGCCAAATATTTCCGTATGTAAATGAGCAATACCAGAAGCAATCGAGAGACAAATCAACAAAAGTGCCGTGTGATCAAGCACAATTGTCTGCAAATAATCGTACAATGAACCACGTTCATGATAATCAGTGATGAGCATCATTTGCGTCCACGAACCAGTACCCTTGATATCAGCAGCAATAAAACCGAGGATATTATCGTGTCTCATCATTACAGTTTGATAAATTTCCGTCTCCCTAAACCATGAAGCCTCTTCAAGTGTAAAAAATACTTTGACCGCCACTTTTTCACCCCTCCATCTCGCGAGCCAAACCTCACCATAACGACCCTTACCAACACATTCCTCAAGTGCCAATTGTTTTGCAATTGTCCGCTGAACAAGTAGCGGTAAACCCGAACCAGAACCACTTGTTTGATCAATGTAGTCCTTGAGCGTGTGATCCTGATTTGATTCCATTAGAAATGGATCACGTTCCTTTCGTCGATAGCGTTGATAAATCATAATTATTGTTAAAATGAAAATTAAAAGACAAATTGATAGTGTTACAGCTGTTAGAATAAGCAATGGTGCCCCGGGTGTTATTATTTCTAATGGATCCGGGGCAATTGTTGATTTTGATATAATTTGAGGGATTTTGTTTTCATTGCAAAAATCTGCATCATTGCAACAGTAAATACTCTTGCCATGTGAATGTGGCACGAGATTTGCATTACATTGCATAAAACTGTATTCCTCTGGTGATAGACATCCAAATGATTCTTCGGTGATGTATTCATTAGTCTCGGGATCTAGGAACTCTTCAACTTGACTGAAACATTGACCACCTTGTTTTAGGGTACACGTGCCATTTTGAATATTATTCGGACAATTGCCGTCACAGTAGCACGTTATTGTCAACACTGAAAGCAATTTTGAAAAAAAAAAAATAGTTTTAAGTATTTGGAATTTTGTCCAAATTCTATACTTTTATTCCCATTTCCAGTTTTCATGCCCATATTCCTCTACATATAACTTCCATTTTACTAAACACTGGTACATTTTTTCTGACAAATTTGACCATTAATTTTTATAACAATCTAGGAGAAGGATTTTTGGCAGTTTCGGATAGAAATGGATTTTAAATTCTTTAAATTCTATCAAATGACAATTTGTGAACATAAAAATTCGAATAAATGAAGTTTTGGTGAAATTTCAGATTTTGAAATTTCAAAATTCGTCTCAGTTGCTCTGACAAAAGGTTCAGATTGATGTTCAATCAGTTTTGATAAGTACGCTGTGCTCAAATTTGGATCTTTTTTGAACAAACTAGAGATAAATCTAATTCGAGTTTGCTGAATTTAATAGCGTTAACCAGATTTCTTAATCATAAAAGCAGCGGATTCACTTGAAACTGGTTAGTAGGGGGTTTTTGGGGTCGTTGATTACGAATTTGAAGTCAGTTTTTTAAAATTCAAAATTTATCAATTAAAAATTTCTCTTAAGGTTATGTGACTTTTAGCTCTGTTATGTTAATTTGTCCGTAATATTTCTTGTAAAATACTGAATGGATTGAGTTAAAATTCTATGGAGGAGTTCCAAACCCACACAGCACCCAAAATTCCCTGAAACTTGACAGAACCTCACACGGCGAGGTTAGGAAACTTAAGTGGCAAGGGTCATACAAGTTTGTGTCGATGTTTAAATGTCCACATGAAAAGAATATTTACACGAAATTTTGAGGGAATATTGTACTATAAATATTCACGTGCAATGTTCAGTCAATGTTGTGTCAATATTCAACCTATACTTATTATATTAATAAACGAAATTTTTATAACTAGGCGAAAATGCAATGTCAATATTGACACAACATTGAATGAACATTGCATGTGAATATTTATAGTACAATATTTCCTCAAAGTTTCGTGTAAATATTCTTTTCATGTGGACATTTAAACATCGACACAAACTTGTATGAACCTTGCCACTGAAGTACCTCGCCGTGTGAAATTCTGTCAAGTTTCAGGAAATTCTGGGTGCTGTGTGGAAATATGATATAAGGAATGGTTGTCAAGTGCAAAAATGTTGATATATTGTTAAATAATTAGAATAATTATTATAAAACACTTGAAAATAATTAGAAAATGTGGGTTTAGGAGTGTCGGATTTTCTAATAATTTTTTATTTATATTTAAAATAAGTTTTTAAAAAACTTTTTTTCCACAGTATTATCGTATACTGTTATCTTAAAAAAATACCAACACAATAAAATTACACTACATTATTTAATATTAATAAAATTTATTCTTTCTACAAATTACAATTATTTGCATGCATAATATTATTAGGTTATATTAATTTTGAATAATAAAAATAAAACGCGGTTTAAACAAAAAGCAAATATTTTTAGGTTATGTTTTACATTTTTCTGCATTATTTATATTGCAATTAAATATATAGAAGTATAACGTTTAAATTTTAATTACTTACTTGACTTGCACTTTTATTTTAAATATTTATACACATAATATGAATAAAATACTTAGTAAAAAATAGAAACACACACACACATCTGTATGGAAACAAAACCATGCAAACAAATAATATTCTCACGTGGTAAATAGTGAGTTTACAAAAATCTGCTATTAGTTATCATATTCTGCCAACAGAGGCGACAGCTCTGCAAAAATAAATAAAGCCCTAAAAAATTACCATGAAATTACATACATACTTTATATATAGAGTATTTTAATGTGACGTCATCTTCCCTACCAGGTGGTAATTTTGAGCAGATATTTATTTTATCGACACATGCATTTGTATGAAAATAAGTGTTATTATAATAATTATATATATACGTCGGTATAATAAATATCTGCGCAAAATTACCACCTGGTAGAGAATATTTTTCATAAAGATTCAAAAAAAAAATGTTCTAGGCAAAAAAAATTTTGAATAAAAATTTTTCGTAGAATGCACCATATATATATAGGATTAAATTACAGCAAATTTTGTCTATTTTTTGATGCCGTATGGTTCTTTTTAAATATTAAACATGGGGAACTTTAATTTTTTAATAAAATATTCTTAGAATATTCTTTGTTGTCAAGTTAGAAATTTTGAGGGATCGATTTTTATTTTTAAAAAAATAAGTTTTAACCTTGTATTAAAAAAAAAATTAATTTTTTCAATAATATTAAAGTTTTTTTTTAACATTTGTAGACTCTATGTTTGATTTTTTAAAAAGTGCCATACAACATCAGAAAATAGACAATATTTACTGTAATTTAAGCCCAAATATTCTGGGCAGAGGGGGTGTTTTTTTGATCATTTAGGTTATTTGTCATATGATTTATTATCGCTCAAATGCATCACTAGACAAAACGAACTATATATATTATTGGTTCGTTATTATTGATATATGAAAGAAAGTATATATTTTATCTACGACATCATAGAGCATGACGAATTTCTTATTTTCACCTCATTGAAAACACAGATCAAATGATGCATGAGACAAGAAAAGCTTCTTTACAAATAGGGTTCGTTAATATATTTAAAATATCCTCAACAAATTACGGTGACTTTTAATAAACAAAAAAAGGAGAGATTATATGTCAACTCGCAATAATTATACTTTCACTGAAAAAATTATATTCTAGATTTAAGAATTTCTTCTTAAATAAATAGGCGCCCAGAATATTCCCCACTTAAAGTAAGTGGGAAATATTCTGGGCGCCTATTTAAGAAGAAATACTTAAATTTAGAATATAATTTTTTCAGTGTTTAATGTTCATTAATATCAATTGCTTATTATTTTTTATTGTTTAATTGCAAAATCAAAAAATAAAAAAAATTTATGAAACAACCAAATAAATGTATTTACAAAACAGTTAACCAAACTTTTGGTTCACCAAGAAAAATGATATATTTATCTCATCTTATATTTATATTTATTTGATTCAAATAAAATTTTATTTGATTTAAATAAAAAATTTTATTTACGACAAATAAATAGGCTAGTAGGCTGTGAAACAAATATTATACGTTTATTTAACTCAAATATATTAGATTTGGTTCAAATAAAACATTTCTCTGCGGGTGTTGAATCATAATAAAAAGTTTATTTGCCTCAATGAAATTCTTTCTTCAAAAAATTTACTAAAATAAACCGAATGTTTATTTAGATCAAATAAATATTTATTTGAATGAAACAAATGTTTGAAAATAATAGAAAAATTGCGTTAATACAAAAAATTGTATATTTAAATTAAATATATATTAAAAATATATTAAATAAATATATTAATATAATAATAATACATTAAAAATATATTAAAAATTTGTATATTTATTTATTAAAAAAAAGTATAATTATTGCAGAAAACAAATTTTTTTATTTAAACTCTTCTTCAAATAATTTTACATTAATTATTTTTACATTCAATTTAAAAAAGATTTTTAGTTAATTTTTTTTTCATTTTTTGTTTTTGTATAAAATATATAATTCACAAAAATTAATTCCTACTCTTTTTTCATTGAATTAAGTTTTCAATTATAGAAATAAAAGTATAGAATATCATTTAATTATAATATATATATATATATAGTATCATTAAGATTTAGTAAACTTAGGTTGTTTATTTTCTTGATATTTATAGTTATATAGTTTTGATCGGTGTCAGGCACACAACACTTGCCAAGGTATTTTTTCAATTTGTGAAATTGTTAATTATTCCCAACATATAAAATTAAAAGATGAAAAAAAATTTTAAGAATTAAAAACATTTTAATTAATTAATATCAATTTAATTTAATAATATATAAAAATACTGCAATTTATAGAAAAAAAATAATCGATTGTATGATGATAAATTGGTGAAATAAATTTATTTATATTTTTAACAAATTTTCATTATTCTATATTAATTATTTATTGTAGATTATGAATTATTTTTCATTTTTTTTTGTTAATTTATTTAATTTTAACAATAAAATAAGTGTAATTTTGAATGTAACATAATTTTTATTGAAATGGTATCATTTTATTAAATTTTTTTTTCTTAATTCTATTTTTGGTAATTTTTTTTGTTATAATATATGTATTTATTTTTTTTTGGTAATTTTTTTCAGTTAAATTTTTTTGTTAATTATTTTTGTTTGTTATTTTTTTTTTTAATGCAGAATGTCAAAAATTGTGAATAGTAAGCAGAATTCAATTGAGCACATGATTTTAAATAATGAAAAAAAATCAAAAATAACAATAGATGAATCTGAAGAAAATCGTTTTCGTACATATAATATTAAGGATTTGAAAATGGCTAAAACATATTTACCGGAAAATTTAATACGTGATTTTAAAAAAGGTTTTGAGGCCTCAACAAAATCTCCATCAACAACAACAACACCAAAATCACGTAATTTTGTGAAAAAACTCGTCGCTACTTTGGAAAATAAAAAATATCAAGCAAGCGGGCATTGCACGGCAGACGATGAATTCTTCGCCAAATGTTATTCTCGACCATTATCCAAAAATCATGTGTCTTATGAAAATCAAGGTGAGAAATCAAAATTAAAAAAAAAAATAAAAAGTAAAATAAATTTTAATAAATAAAATAATTTAAATAATTTAATTTTTTAATAATAATTTTTAATAAATTAAGTTAAATAAGTAAAAGAAATAAAAAATTAAATAAATTCCTATAATATAAAAAATATAAATAATACCTATAGTTAAAATAAAAAAAAGTAAAATAATTTAATATTATAGACGCTTATAATTTTTATTTTCATTATTTTTCTTCAGTTTTATTCTTTTATGTACTTATTGTATATTATTTTTAGTTTGCCTTTTTTCTGTTTTCTTTCTTTCTTTTTTATTTCTTTTTTTTTTCATTTGAATATGTAAACAATTAGGGTCAACCGGGGTAAATCCGAACGCTTTTAATAAGTTTCAACAATAACATAAGTTTTTTCTTTAAAAAAGAAATACTTCCGGTATTCTGGTGCATGAAGTTGTTACTTTACTTCCATAGAACAATTTTATGGGGTAGCAAAAATTTTTGATAAATTGCAATCGCAGGAAACTTAGCGTTTGTATTTACCTCGATACTTTGCAACTTTCCTAAAATATGGGGGTAAATACGAACGCCACTGTATTTCAGAAAAATCTTAGGGAAAATAAATTTAAAGTATTGCAATTGTTAAACTTATATAAAAACTCAAAAAATACGATAATAAACCTATTATGTAATAATGCATCATATATAAATACAAAAATCAAACAGGTTAAAAATTAAAATGCATTACACAATTAAAACCTTCAATAACTTTATCAAATCATAACGGATTTTTGTAAAACTTGCTACAGAAAGTATTTTGGAGTGATTGAATGCAAATACAAAAATAAAAGTCAAATTTTTAAAATTCAAAATAGCGGACTTTCCTAAAACTTATTTTTAAAAATGATCAAAAATTCGTAATCAGCGACCCTGAAACCCCCCGAGTAACAATTTTCGAGCGAATCCAATGAATTTTTTAATCCTCGTCCGCCATATTGGATCGGCCATTTTGAATTTTGAAAAACTGACTTGAAATTGGTAATCAGCGACCCCAAAAACCCTAGAATACCAAATTTTATTAAGATCCTGAAAAACAAAAAAAGTGGAACACTCCTTCGAGAGAACAGAGATTAAGTTTCTGCTTATTAATTACTAACGAGGATACATATAGAAAGAAAAACTTTTTTCTATGTACTTTTATAATGTTAAAATAATAGTGTAATCAAATAAAAACAATTTTTGAAAATACCGTTCGGATTTACCCCGGTTTTCCAATTTTCCGGGGTAAATACGAACGGTCTGATATTATTAATAAAATTTTACAGAAGGCAAAAATGAAAAATAGTTTCTGTTCTAGTATTCATAACAAACAATTATAAATAATAAAATGAATTTTTAGCTTCTTTTTCTTGAAATACGAGACAAAATACCGAAAGAGTGTCATCTTTGATTTTCAATCTTTTTTGCAATACTCGTTATCTTTGTTTATGCTGTTGCTATAATTAACAGACGAAAAATGGGATAATACTTAGAATCTCTTCAAGAGGATCTGAGGTAAAAATTCTCATGTGTAACTTATTTTTTTAAATTTTAATTAAGCTGAAATAATTAGCGTTCGGATTTACCCCGGCTGACCCTAACTATTTTGTTGTCCGAAATAATAATTACAATATTCCATTTCGAATAAATAATAAATTCACATTGTATTGATTGTAGAAAAGAAAAAAAATTATTTCGAAGAAAAATATAATTCAAAAAATGAAAAATCAAAAGAAAAATTTGGAGGTACAAAAAAGAAAAAATTAAGTTCTGAGGTTTCTAAGCAAGGAGCAGTAACAAATTTGACTATCGATGAATATATAAAATTGAATACTTCAAAAAATATTCATATTACGAAGAAAAATGAGAATTCTGATAAAAGAAATAGCTTTTGGAGGTAAAGGTTTAAAAATAAACATTTTTCTTTTTTATTAACAAACAATGCGAGAGCATTTTTTTTTTATTTTATCAATTTTTGTTATTTTTCTTTATAGTTCAAAAAATAAGGAAAAAGTTGAAGAAGATCATCATTTTGATGAATCAGAGACTATTACTTTTCGTCGAAGTTTCCCCGAAAGAAATAATGAAACAGAATTTTCCTTTCAATCTGATAAATCAGATAGTCTTTCAGCTATTTTCACTGAAACTAAAAATAAAAAAAATATTTTCAGGTATTTGTTAACAGATTTAAAAAAAAATTGATAAAAATATACCTAATTATTGTATAATTATAATAAGTGATAATTTTTAATTATTATTTTAATTATATTTGTTTTGATTTTTTTTTCTATTTTTTCAAATTTTTCAAGACGTTCTGGACAATTTGAGGAAAAAAAATCATTTAAAAATGTTTTAAGTTCATTAATTGGATTTAAAAATCGTAATCCAACGCTTCCCAGAGGTAAACGTAATATTTTCAATCCAAAAGATAGTCTTGGTGAAGAAATGAGAGTTTTTAGAAGAGACTTTATGATGCCTGCTTTATTAAAAGCAGCAAAATCTTATAAAGACGAATTTGAAGATTCAACTAAAGACGATACATTTACAACAATGATGGCGGCATCGAAGCCACAAATTGATAATCGAAGTGCATCGATACATCCATTTTATGGCGCTAAAAGAGCATCAACATTTCTTCATCCACTTCCAGAAGAAAATTATGAATTTCAGGTATAATAATAATAATTATTTGAAAAATAGTTTTTATTTTCGGACACATGATTATGTTTTAAAAATCATTAGTTAAAATTTTCATTTTATGGAATTTTATTTGTCATAATTATTTTTGAGACGAATTTTTATTTCTTCGAATCAGTATTTTGCAGAATTTTCATCAAAACGATTTTCTATATTACACAATTTTTATACATATAACCGAAAAATTCACTTCACAGAATTTTTATTTGTTCAAATTTTTAATTGCTCGAATTTTCATTTAACACAATAGGCATTCTAAAGAATTTTTATTGGTTAGAATTTCATTGCATAGAATTTTCATTTTATTCTTTTAGATGAATTTTCATTTGTTCGAATTATTCTTTGATATAATTTCCATATAACTTTTTTTACTTAACTGAAAAATCATTTAACAGAATTTCTAATTGATAGAATTTTCATTTGTCCGATATTGCAAATGACCGAACAAACAATCGATTTTGGCGCGATTTTTAAAATCAACCAATCACAATTTTATGGATAATTTTTGATTTGTTGATTTTAAAAATCGCGCCGAAATCGATTATTTGTTCGGCCATTTGCAATTTCGGACAAATGAAAATTCTATCAATTAGAAATTCTGTTAAATGATTTTTCGGTTAAGTAAAAATTCTGCAGAAAATTCGGTTTTATGGATATTATATCAAATAATAATTCGAACAAATGAAAATTCATCTGAAAAAATAAAATGAAAATTCTATGCAATGAAATTCTATCCAATAAAAATTCTTTAAAATGCCTATTATGTTAAATGAAAATTCGAGCAAATAAAAATTCTGTAATATAGAAAATTGTTTTGATGAAAATTCTCGCAAAATACTAATTCGAAGAAATAAAAATACAGCTCAAAAATAATTATGATAAATGAAATTCCATAAAATGAAAATTTTAACTAATTATTTTTATAACATAATCACATGTCCCCAAATAATGTAAAAATTGAATTAAAAAGTATTTTAAACTAAATTGAGACAAAAAAATTTTTTTTTTTAGAATGAATTATTGCAAGAAAAAAGTATATCTCAAATAAAGGACAAAAAAAATTCTCCTCAACATAGTCCACCATTTTATCAAAGACCACGTGAAATTATTTACGATATACCAAAATCAAATAAAGCCGTTAATTTTGAATTTCAATTAAAAAATGATGACAGAAATTCCAATGATTATCAAAATATGGATATTCTTAATGACAGTAGTAATTGGTGTAAAATTTCTAATCCAGCGCCAAGAAAAAATATTATATGCGGTAGAAGAGCATTATTTATTCGTAAACGAAAACAAGAAAAAAAGCAATGAGAATATATATTTTTTCTATAATACTGATCAAAACAAATAATTTTCTAATTTTTTTTTTAATCTATAAAATTTGATCAAATTTGAATAATTATTTATTATTATGATTATTAATATTGAATCGTATATAATTAAACTGCTCCTTGCGATTTTAACCTCATATAATTATAATATCAATTTTTAAATTAAGAAAAAAAACTACTGACATCGACCTCTTTTATTATATATAATACCTATACGAGAAAAAATTTATAATGTAAAATTTGTGGAGTGACTTTCTTTTTGTATTTAAAGAAACAATTTGTATATTAATTAATATTTTTTTATTTGATATGTAAATATATATGAGAATTTTAATTTTCAAATTATGAATAAAAATAATTTAAATATAAATGAATTTTTTTTTTTGTAGAACAAATATATTTATTTATTTACAAATAAATATATAAGTATTATTACAAATAAATATATAAGCCTAGTAAAAATTATTCCGAAAATAAAAAAAAAAAGTTTTAGGAAAGTCCGACATTTTGAATTTAAAAAATTTGACTTTTATTTTTGTATTTACATTGAATCACTCCAAAATACTCTCTGTAGCAAGTTTTGCAAAAATTCGTTATGATTTAATAAAGTTATTGAAGGTTTTAATTGTGTAATGCATTTTAATTTTTAACCTGTTTGATTTTTGTATTTATATATGTTGCATTATTACATAATAGGTTTATTATCGTATTTTTTTGAGATTTTTCTGAAATACAGTGGCGTTCGTATTTACCCCGGTATTTTAGGAAAGTTGCAAAGTATCGAGGTAAATACGAACGCTAAGTTTCCTGCGATTGTAATTTATCAAAAATTTTTGCTACCCCATAAAATTGTTCTATGGAAGTAAAGTAACAACTTCATGCACCAGAATACTGGAAGTATTGTCTTTTAAAAGAAAAAACTTATGTTATTATTGAAACTTACTAAAAGTGTTCGGATTTACCCCGGCTGACCCTACGTAATTTGTGAAAAATAGCGATTTTGTCCCCATTTACCCCAACTGACTGTAGATATGGGGTCATGCACATAATACGTCACCCAATTATAACTCTTTTTTGACCCCCCCCCTCCTCCTATGTCACACTTGGTTCCATGCATAAAATTAAAATTTTATTTTTTTGACCATCCTGATATGTTTTTAAAATCCAAATGATGCAAGAAAAAAGAAATATTCAACTTTCTGCGATTATTAAAATTTAAAGGACTTAAAATAAATGTGGTGACTCCCCTTAAAAATTTAAATAAAAATTCAATTTTTTTGTAAGTGATACAATATTATAGTCTTTATCGATTTTTAAATTCTTTTTTAAGAAATAAACGATGCTAGAGAGTTCATTAAACTATATTTCGATCAATATTCGTGAATCAGACGATCTCATCTCTTTATAGTGTCAGGTATTTTCCTGTTATGTCAGAAGAATTAACAGGTCATCTATTTTCTATTATAGATTATAAATTTTCATTTATATTTTAAAAATTATGAAAAGAGACCATGTGAAATTTTAGCCCTTTAAAATTTACATTGTATGATAATTTTTTTTCCCCGACATTATTTAAAATCTAGAATTATTCTAAATTATAAAAAAAATTACTTTTCACTCATTTAAAAATTTTTATTTTTCAAAAAATCAAAAATTTTTGACAATTTCTTTTGTTTTTAGAAATTAGTTTAATTTTAATTTGTTTTTTAATATTCAGGCCTCGGATCGACTTTAAGGACCAAAAAAAGTCGTTCTAGTCGGTTTATATTCCAAAAAAAGTCGTTTTTTTTTTATTTTAACAAAATTTAATTGGTTAATGAATATTTTACTTCAAATAACTAATGTTGTTAGATATTAATGAGAATAATATTCTATAAAAATATTACCAAGAAAATTTTTTTCGAATATTTCAGAATCAAATTAATTGTAAGAGAAATTTTCAAAATTTTATTTAAGTAGGACAAATTTCTAAAAAAAATTCTTAAATTTCCATTTTTATAATTTTTTCAATTCTGATTTAAGCAAATTCAAGCAATTCAAAAGTTGGACAAAGTCGTATAATCCGAGGCCTGAATATTATGAACATAATAATTGAAAATATTTTTTGGAATTTTAAAAAATTTACTCGGCTTTTTTTTAAATTAGTTTAATTATTATAATTTCATTATTATTATAATGTAGATATAAATTGAAAACATTTTTTTAAATTTTGTATTAAAATGTATAAAAATTAAATACACATTCATAAGACTGTAATTAATAAATTTTTTTTAATAAATAACAATATTATTAATATTATAATATAGTGTCGAAAATATCAGTCAAATAATTCTGATATAATAAAAAATTTCCACTGCTTTTGTGTTGAAAAAAAAATCAATGAAACGAAAGTATATATATATATATAGTCGATTTTTAGAAGTCACAATATAATTGTAACTTATTGGAGGAGTTAGAGAAGTTATAATTGAGTATAGGGGGTATGAAAAGAAACCTACCCTGCAAACATAATAATACGCATTGATCTAGAAGAATTAAATGATTCCTGTAAGCAAACGTTACTAATTGTACGCCGTGGGCGTCGACAATGGAATAAAACTGAATCTATATAATATTTTTAAATATCAGAAAATTTTTGCACATCGTAGACACGTAAATTCTAATAGAAAAATATTTTATTTTATAATAAATTTATTTTAAAAAAATAATAATTAATAATTATTACTTTTTTTAAAAAAATAAAATTGTATGGAATATCATTATTTTAATTACACATAAAAATAAATAAAATTTTTTTATTTATATTATGTTTTAAATATTGAATAATTTTTTAAATTTATTTAATTTATTTCTTTTATTGTATTTTTTTAGTTATATACTATTATATTATTATTTTTTATTATTATATATTTATTCTATACTATTTCTGATAAATTTTATAATGATGTATATATTGGCGTCGTCGTTTCTTCCATCTTTGGATATGCTATAAAGTGTAACTGACGCAATAAACGAGCTGTTATTAGATTTCTAGTACCACTATAGGAGTTCCTATTGCGGTGACGAAGTTATAACATCCTACTATTAATTTAAACGACAGGATCTCTTTTCTATTTGACCATTTTCAAAATAGGACTTCATATCTAATTTAATCTAATACAATAATTAAATTTTATGTCTTTAAACTCAATTTTTTATTATAATTCAAATTTTATAATTTAAATTTTATTATATAATTATTATATATTATATTATATTATCATAATTTTATAATTTATTATTTATTGCTTTAGACAAAATACTTTTTTTCTTCATATTTTTGTTGATTTAATAAATACTTTAACCGAAAAGTTAACCGAAAGTTAACTTTGCGGGTTAATAATGCCGTGCTGATGAAGAAAGTCGGTAATCGACATTTTTATCGAAAATGAGTTTTTTATATCACTGGATTCGTTATGAAAAAAGGAATCTAGCTGTAGTAATATTTTTTATTAACGTTAATTAATTAGTGTTTAATTAGTGTTTAATTACAGTGATTTCGCGAAATCATTTTGACAGAGTCCGTACTTGCAAGCAAAAATAGTCGGTAAGTGCTATTACTGCTCGAAAATGATGACGTATTTACGAACTTTACTGGAAGCAGAGTCCGCAAGGGCAAGTACTGCCAGTAAATGTGGTCTGACTTGACTAGAAATACTGATGCCATTGGCCGTAAAAGCAAGTACGGACTCTTTGCCTCAAGTATTTCTGGCGATAAAGGACCAACTTTCCTGATGGAAAAAGTCCGTACTTGCATTTCTACAAATAACATTACATTAACTTAAGTAATTTAATTATTTATTATTAATCTAAAATAAATAAACATTTAAATGAAAATACTAATTTTAATTAATTTAATAATAATAAAAATAATAATAATAATAGTAATAATTTTTAATTAATTTAATTTAAATAATATTTTAATAACAATAATTAAACAATTATATTATTATTAATATTATTAAACAATAATTTAATAATAAATAATTAATTCAATAACATTAACAACTATAAACAACCATTATTAAAATAAAAAATCAACATCATTTAAAATAATTTAATAAATTCAACAAAATGACTGATAATAATATATTTGTTTATAATTAAATATTATATTTCAGTGACAATTGAATTTTATTTTGTCTAATATTTTCTGAATTTCTTTCAGTTCAATAAATTAATAATAATTAAGAAATTAAAGAAAAACTATTATTAATTTATTTGTAAATTATTATTTATTACACTTCTGTACTTTTTTAAATAACAACAAACAAAAATTGTAAAAAATATAAAAGCCTAATACTTTTTTCCATAGTCACAAGATAGAATATACGTAATAAGCTGCAAGTACGGACTCTATGGTCGTGACGTCATCGAGCCGTAGGAGCACTTACGGACTCTGGCAGTATTTTCAGGATTTCAAAATTAATTTTTGGCAGTAATCGACATTTTGTTTATAAAAAATGAAAATTTTGAAATTTTGTTTGCGCCATTAAATAGAGCATGCCAAGATTAGTAAAGGACCGTTGTAATTATTTTAATAACTTTTATATATTAATTATGCTAGTTTAAAACGCGTTTCTTTAAATATCTCGAAAACACTCTAAATGCAAGTACGGACTTTCTTCATCAGCACGGCAGAATAAGTCAGAATATATTCAATAAATGCAAAAATTGAATTACATAAAGATAAACAGTTCATATAGTTCAATACCCCTTTGATGTTACGTGTCAGGAGAACTAATTGAGGTTAGTTTCCCGTAGTTTTATTTTGACAAACTAAAAGGGCTAAAAGTATATATACTTTATCAATAAAAGTCTTCAGCCTTTAAAATAATTTCTTAGTATTCAGTAATTTAAGCCGCCGGAAAGTAAAAGGGCGCATAAAATTTGTACAGCCGGCCAACTCAAACGGCCGTACAAACTTTATGCGCCCTTTTACTTTCCGGCGGCTCATTTGATGCCAATAACCCAGATAGCACGTAAGCTTCAAATGCCCCACCTTACCCAAGCTTGCATGGTAAGCTTTCCGAAAGATTGCAGTGTAAGGCTACTGCAAGATTGCACAGTAAGATTATCACAAGATTGCTCAGTAAGCTTCCCAAATAACCTTGCCAATCAGCACAGAAGGTTGCAGCAAACTTGCAGCAAGCTTGCCATGCAAGTTTGCTCGGCAATCTTATGGCAAGCTTGGCGCAAGCTTGCGGAATATAACAAAAAATTCTTTATACAATGTATCCTCTTAGGAAAGAAGCTAATATTTTCCCGGATTCATTTTGAAATATCAACAATGTCATTTAATTTCTATTACATATGAAAATTTTAAAAGAAAAATTCATTCATGAAAAAATAGTGTACTCACCCCTTACCTTCCAGTTTTGAAGGTTTATTTTTGTCGGAAATTATATTTCCATTTTAATACGAATAAAATTTTCAATGTGCTTCGTAAAATTTCCTCATGTAGAAATTAAATTACAAAAATCCATTTGGAAATAAAAAAAAAATCTCAAATGTATATCGGTAATATGTTGATACAAAATTTTATTATAATAAGTGGAGACAACCTACTCTCGAAATATTTTTAAA